CCATTATTATGATTATTTACTATTATTATATTTTATTATATTATTCTTATTATTTATACCCTGCTTTACCTCTCCCAAAGGAGACTCAAAGCAGCTCTGCATCAATTATTATGTTACATTATAATATAGTATTATAATTATCTAATATTATTATATCATTATATTTATACCCTGCTTTACCTCTCCCAAAAGAGACTCAAAGCAGATCTGCATCTATTATTATTATATCACATAATAATAATAATAATAATAATAAGATATTATATTTTGATACCCCACTTTACCTCTCAAAGGAGACTCAAAGTGGCTATTATTATTATTATTATTATTATTATTATTATATTTGTTGCTACCCCACTTCACCTCTCTCAAAGGAGACTCGAAATGTATGTTTGTTTATTATTATTATTAATGTATTTATTTGTTTATACCGTACTTTACCATCCTAAAGGAGACGCAAAGTGTATGTATGTATATTATTATTATTGTTATTATCATTATATTTCTTTATACCCCACTTTACCTATCCCAAAGGAGACTCAAAGTGGCTATGTATCCATTATTATTATTAGTAGTAGTATTATATTTTATTATATTATTATTATATTTATTTATACCCCTCTTTACCTCTCTCAAAGGAGACTCAAAGCAGCTCTGCATCAAGAATTATTGTATTATATTATATTGTATTATAATATAATATTATAATTATCTAGTACCATATTACAATTACTCTTATTTATACCCTGCTTTACCTCTCTCAAAGGAGACAAGAAGCGGCTCTGCATCTATTATTATTATATATTTTATTATATTATAATTACCTAATATTATTATATTATTTACTAGCCGCCCCTGTCACGCGTTGCTGTGGCCCACTCTGGTGGTCATGGGGGTTCTGTGTGGGAGGTTTAGCCCAATTCTATCTTTGGTGGGGTTCAGAATGCTCTGTGATTGTAGGTGAACTATAAATCCCAGCAAGTACAACTGCCAAATGTCAAGATTCTATTTTCTCCAAACTCCACCAGTGTTCACATTTGGGCATATTGAGTATTTGTGTAGAGCTTGGTCCAGATCCATCATTGTTCGAGTCCACAGTGCTCTCTGGATGTAGGTGAAATACAACTCCAAAACTAAAGGTCAATGTCCACCAAACTCTTCCAGTATTCTCTGTTTGTCATTAGAGTTCTGTGTGCCAAGATGGCCTGGCAGTGCCTGGGGCAATCTTTTGTTGAGAGGTGATTAGATGTCCTTGTTTGTTTCCTCTTTGCTGTTGTGCTGTTCTCATTTTAGAGTTTTTTAATACTGGTAGCCAGATCTTGTTCATTTTCATGGTTTCCTCCTTTCTGTTGAAATTGTCCACATGCTTGTGGACATCTAATCAACAAACATCAAACAAGGACATCTAATCACCTCTCAACAAAAGATTGCCCCAGGCACTGCCAGGCCATCAAATGCTAATCAAGGTGATCAGTTGAAGCATTCACACCTGGCTCCAGCAGACAAGAGTCCTTTGTCTCATCCTGGTCATTCCACAGATATATAAACCCTTTTTCCTAGTTCCAACAGACCTCACTACCTCTGAGGATGCTTGCCATAGATGCAGGCGAAATGTCAGGAGAAAACACCTTTAGAACATGGCCATATAGCCGGAAAAAACCTACAACAACCTATTATTATATTATTTATTATTATTATATTTAATTATATTATTATTATATTTATTTATACCCTGCTTTACCTCTCTGAAAGGAGACTCAAAGCAGCTCTGCATCTATCATTATTATATTCTACTAGCTGTCCCCTGCCACGCGTTGCTGTGGCCCACATGGGTTTTCTGTGTGGGAGGTTTAGCCCAATTCTATCATTGGTGGGGTTCAGAATGCTCTGTGATTGTAGGTGAACTATAAATCCCAGCAACTACAACTCCCAAATGTCAAGATTCTATTTTCCCCAAACTCCACCAGTGTTCACATTTGGCATATTGAGTATTTGTGTAGAGTTTGGTCTAGATCCATCATTGTTTGAGTCCACAGTGATCTCTGGATGTAGGTGAACTACAACTTCAAAATCAAAGGACACTGCCCACCAAACCCTTCCAGTGTGTTCTGTTGGTCATGGAAGTCCTGTATGCCATGTTTAGTTCAATTCCATCATTGGTGGAGTTCAGAATGCTCTTTGATACATCCCAGCAACAACAACTCCCAAATGACAAAATCAATTTTTGAGTGATAGTCACTCCTTGGGTTAGTAAATGTCTTGTGTCCAAATTTGGTGTCAATTCGTCCTGTGGTTTTTGAGTTATGTTAATCCCACAAACGAACATTACATTTTTATTTATATAGATTTATACCCTGCTTTACCTCTCCCAAAGGAGACAAGACGCGGCTATGTATCTATATTATTATTATATTATATTTATTATTATTATTATTTATACCCTGCTTTTTACCTCTCTCAAAGGAGACTCAAAGCAGCTCTGCATCTATTATTATATTTTATTATATTATAATTACCTAATATTATATTATTATTTATTATACTTTATTATATTATTATATTTATTTATACTCTGCTTTACCTCTCCCAAAGGGGACAAGAAGCAGCCCTGCATCCATTATTATTATATTATATTACATAATAATAATAATAATATATTATATTAATAATATATTATTAATTATATTAATAATATATTATTATTATTACATTTGTTTATACCCCTCTTTACCTATCTCAAAGGAGACTCAAAGTGGCTCTGCGTCTATTATTATATTATATTATAATTATCTATTATTATTATATTTATGTATACCCTGCTTTACCTCTCCCAAAGGAGACAAGAAGCAGCCCTTCATCTATTATTATTATTATTATATTATATTACATAATAATATATCATTATTATTATTACATTTGTTTATACCCCACTCTATCTCAAAGGAGACTAAAAGTGGCTCTGCATCTATTATTATTATTACATTTTATTATAATATAATTATCTATTATTATTATTATATTTATTTATACCCTGCTTTACCTCTCCCAAAGGAGACTTAAAGCAGCTCTGAATCAATTATTATATTATATTTTATTATAATATATTACAATTAATATTATAATATTTTGATTATATTTATTTATACCCTGCTTTACCACTCTCAAAGGAGACAAGAAGCGGCTCTGCATCTATTATTATATTATTATTATTATATTTATTTATACCCTGCTTTACCTCTCCCAAAGGAGACTCAAAGCAGCTCTGCATCAATTATTATATTATTATTATTATTATTATTATTATTATTATTATATTTATTTATACCCTGCTTTACCTCTCTCAAAGGAGACAAGAAGCGGCTCTGCATCTATTATTATTATATCATTATTATTATTATATTTATTTATACCCTGCTTTATCTCTCCCAAAGGAGACTCAAAGTGGCTCTGCATCAATTATTATATTTTACTATAATATAATTTCCTAATATTATTATATTTATTATTATGATTATATTTATTTATACCCTGCTTTACCTCTCCCAAAAGAGACTCAAAGTGGCTCTGCATCTATTATTATTATTATTATTATTATTACATTTTATTATAATTACCTAATATTATTATATCATTTATTATTATATTTAATTCTATTATGATTATATTTATTTATACTCTGCTTTACCTCTCCCAAAGGAGACAAGAAGCAGCTCTGCATCTATTATTATTATATTATATTTTATATAATATAATGACCTAATATTATTGTATTATTTATTATTATATTTAATTCTATTATGATTATATTTATTTATACCCCACTTTACCTATCCCTATAATTTCCTAATATTATTATATCATTTACTATTATATTTAATTCTATTATGATTATATTTATTTATACCCCACTTTACCTATCCCTATAATTACCTAATATTCTTATATCATTTACTATTACATTTAATTCTATTATGATTATATTTATTTATACCCCACTTTACCTATCCCTATAATTTCCTAATATTATTATATCATTTATTATTATATTTAATTCTATTATGATTATATTTATTTATACCCCACTTTACCTATCCCTATAATTTCCTAATATTATTATATCATTTATTATTATATTTAATTCTGTTATGATTATATTTATTTATACCCCACTTTACCTATCCCTATAATTTCCTAATATTATTATATCATTTATTATTATATTTAATTCTATTATGATTATATTTATTTATACCCCACTTTACCTATCCCTATAATTTCCTAATATTATTATATCATTTATTATTATATTTAATTCTGTTATGATTATATTTATTTATACCCCACTTTACCTATCCCTATAATTTCCTAATATTATTATATCATTTATTATTATATTTAATTCTATTATGATTATATTTATTTATACCCCACTTTACCTATCCCTATAATTTCCTAATATTATTATATCATTTATTATTATATTTAATTCTATTATGATTATATTTATTTATACCCCACTTTACCTATCCCTATAATTTCCTAATATTATTATATCATTTATTATTATATTTAATTCTATTATGATTATATTTATTTATACCCCACTTTACCTATCCCTATAATTTCCTAATATTATTATATCATTTATTATTATATTTAATTCTATTATGATTATATTTATTTATACCCTGCTTTGTCTCTCTCAAAGGAGACTCAAAGAAGCTCTGCATCTATCATTATTATATTATATTACATAATAATATATTATTATTATTATTATTATTATTATTATTATTATTGTTGTTGTTGTTATTATATGTGTTGATTGATACCCAGCTTGACCTTTCCCAAAGGAGCCTCCAAGCAATGAAGGAGAAGCAACCCCAAGAGAGGAGATGCATTGGATGCCAACCTGGGCAAGACCTGAGTCTCCAATGCAATGCCTGCAGCCAGCCAGCCAGCCAGCCTTCCAGCCAGCCTTGCCTTCCCTTCTTACTTACTTGTCGAGCACGAAGTAGAGGTCGAACCCCCCATAGCAGGCGGCCCCTCCATCCTGCTTCTGCTGCTGCTGCTTCTTGGCCTCATCCTGGCCAGCCAGGAGGAAAAGGAGGAGGAGAAGGAGGGCGCCAGGCAGGGCCACTCTCCTGGGGACCCTCAGCACCGCCATCCCAGAAAAAAATATATCCAGAAAGCCTCTACCTCGACCCCATCCAGAAAGCAAGAATTATTTTTTTTGAAAAAATGGATAAAAAATATTTTAAAAAATTGTACAAAATCCCAATCCCCACTGTTCCTTTGTTGCTTTGCATCCAAGGCCAGCTTTTCCAGATATTTTCCTTCTTCTTCTTCTTTTGCAAAAAAAAAAAAACTTTTGCAAAACTTTGGAGTTCTTTCAGTTTTGCAAAACAAACAAAGTCTCCCTGGTTTTTGCAAACTCAACACAAAAGGGAGCAAGTTTCCGGAGAAGGCTTCGCTTTGCCCCAGATTTGGGAGAAAGTGGGAAGGCTCTTCTCCTCTCCCTCTTTCTCTCCCCCCCCCCCCCACTTTTTTTTTGTGTGTGCATTTTTTTCCATCCTTCTTGCAGCTGCTTCTTGGGTTTCTTTCTTTCTTTGCTTGCCTTTCCCAGGGCAAGATTAGGAAGCGCGCGCGCGCCACCTCGTGGCCAAGTCGGGCAAAGCAGGCGCTTCTTTGTTACTTAACCAGGGTTATTTATTTATTTATTTATTTATTTATTTATTTATTTATTTATTTATTTATTTATTTATTTATTTGCTTATATACCGCTGTATCTCAAGCCCGAAGGCGACTCACAGCGGTTCACAAACAGTAAAAACAGTAGAAACAGCAGTGGTTCCATACAACATATAACAATTGACTTAACACATTATCCATAAATTACCAATAAGCAATTACAATGCACAATTATTACAAAAACAACCGTACCCAATCTTCTCATCATCCAAGCGTAGTCCAGGTTCGTCGCCCATTGTTCCATTCCTATGTTCCATTACCAGATTGCACTAAATTACTCAAACGCCTGCACAAACATCCAGGTCTTCACCTTTTTGCGGAATACCATTAGAGATGGTGCTAGTCTAATGTCCGTAGGAAGGGCGTTCCACAGCCGAGGAGCCACCACCGAGAAGGCCCTATCTCTCGTCCCCGCCAGCCGAGCTTGAGAAGCAGGCGGGATCGAGAGCAGGGTCTCGCCGGAAGATCTCAAAGTCCTGGTGGGTTCATAGGCAGAGATGCGGTCAGATAGGTAGCTTGGGCCGGAACCGTTTAGGGCTTTAAAGGCCAACCAGCACTTTGAATTAGCCCGGTAGCAGATCGGTAGCCAGTGGAGTTGGCGCAACAGGGGGGTTGTATGCTCCCTGCGCTCCGCTCCTGTTAAAATCATGGCTGCCGAGCGTTGGACTAGTTGAATGAAAAGTAATGCCTCCACCTTCATAACTCCTCAACAGATGGCAGTACTGGTACGCGGCACAGGTACTGCCTTGTTCAGCTCCAATCAGATCCGTAGCCAGGGGTGCCTCAACCCATTACGCAAAGTAAGCATTTGCAGCAGGCATGTAGCCGGGGGGGGGGGCTCAGGGGGCTTCAGCCCCCCCCCCCCCAAATTCTCATGGTGGTTCGTGAAAAGGCCTTACTGGTGCATTACTTAAACTTATTCATATCATGATCTGATCGCCATACTCAATATATCCCATTGTTGGGGTTCAGCCTGAGTTTGAACTTGAACCTGATTCTCTGTTTGTTCCTCCTGGTGCTAATGAAAGTATATGAAGAAAATGCTGTAGGTTTGGAAAATGCCAATGTTCCTGAAATTAGTGAGGAAGGAACTTCTGTAGATTTGGAAAATGAAAGTACCAGTGTTCATGAAAATGTTTCAGAGGGAGACCTTGAACTTTCCCTCCCTTCTGCACCTGTTAACTGTAATGACAACAGAAGGGGCCAAATTTGGGAAGACAGAAGTAAATCACTCAGTTTGCGTCGATCCTCCCGAATTCAAGAATTAAAAACATTGGCTTCAAAAAAGAAGGGCGGTTCACGGAACCAATTCTTGAGTTTTAATTGCAATACGCCGGGCTGATTGTCTCAGTTCAGGCATCGTTTCAGAATTGATGAAGACCTTGGCAGTTCTCCCGGTTCCCTGCCATAGTTTGGGAAGATTTCTAGGATATCAAGTACGGTTAGTGGATTGCTAACAGATTCCAGTATTTCCCAGTGAGGCTTTTGGTTTTGCTTTGTCCATTTAAATTCATGTTTGCTGATTTTGCTGTGGCTTTTGACTTGCATTTTTCCTTTATTTTGTAACCATTTTTCTTCAATAAAAAAGGATTGTTTTTCACAGCCAAGTGTGTTGGATAGTTATCTTAGGGCCTCGTTCCCTGTCAGGGGTGACTCAAGAGCAGGGGCGGCTCGTCCATTACGCGAAGTAAGCGGTCGCAGAACACTTTTTTTTTTGCCAGGGGCGCAGAGGCGCCTCTGTAAATGCCCCTCGACCGCCACTTGAGGAGCGCCCCCTCAGCTCACAACAGCCCTAGCAGTCCGGGGGGAGCCGCGGCTTTCTTGCCTCGCTGCCAGGCGATCCTCTTCCCAAAGGGGCCGGGCCCTTGAGCCTCACCTAGCCCCTCTCGTTCCTGCTCCACCCGGCCACCGGGTGCGCGAGCAGAGCCGGCGCTCAATCGTTCTCCGCGTTCGATCCCTTCCCCATGACCGGCTCCCTTTCCCGATCCCCCGGCGCTCCACCCGCCTCCTCTCCTCTCCCCAATCCGCGGGTGGGCCAAGGGGCGGAGCCGCCGCGCCTGGCCCGCTTCGGGTCCGGAGGCATGTTTGAAGACCCCAGCATGCACACCAAAAGTCGCCTCTTCTCCTGACTTTCTCTTCAGCCATTGGAACCAAGAGAGAGAGAGAGAGAGACCTCCGGCTGGAGGTATCTCCCACCTCCGCTCCCTCCTTTGTTTTTGCGCCTACCTTCAGGAAAGGTGGGCATCTCCACCTCTGTCTCTCTCTCTCTCTCTTGGTCCCAATGGCTGAGGAGAAAGTCAGGAGAAGAGGTGACTTTTGGTGCACACGCCGGGGTCTTCAGGCACGCCTCCGGACCCAAAGCGGGCCAGGCAAGGGAGCAAGTGCGGCAACTGTAGTTACTGGGATGTATAGTTCACCTACAATCAAAGAGCATTCTGAACTCCACCAATGATGGAATTGAACCAAATATGGCACACAGAACTCCCACGATGAACAGAAAATATATATCAATGATTGTTTGGGGGGGGGGCGCTAAAATACTGTTTGCTTACCATTGAAAATTACCTAGGGCTGCCTCTGCATGGGGGTATTGGGGTAATGATACAAAAGGTTTGCTAGGCTAGACCCTCTTTCACACTCAGACTCAGCCCCCCCCCGAAACTCAGCCCCCCCCAACCCCCCTGAAAAAAAATCAGCCCGCCCCCTGAAACAAAATCCTGGCTACGGGCCTGATTTGCAGTATAGTTGATTTTGCCCAGGGGCACTGTACTGTAGCCGCTGGAGCTGAAATTAAATGCTTCTAAGAGAGGAAAGCCCAGGGGCCCGAGAAAGAACCTTTAGAGGAATTTTCCCTATTAAACAGGCTTTAGGAGACTTAAGCTTAAATACAACAGTCTTTATTAATGAACAAGCAGGAATTGTAAGATTTCTAAATAGTCTATTGGGTCTTGCAGTCTTGTTTACAGGAAACAGGCACTATCTTCAAGAAACTTTGTTTAACAGACTTATGTTAAGTTACAACTTAATTCATGGTTCAGATTTACTATTTATTTATATCCAGTTTTAACAGTCACCTTCGAATTTGCACCATTATTCTCACTGATAGATTTTAACATTGACAATCGCCATTCCTATTCATTGATAGCGAAGAGGCGTCGAAACCAAATGAAAACACTTGCAAAAAAGCGACATATATCTACAAGTTGGTTGAAAAAGAACAGCCTTTTGCACCACTTTTTGACATATATTTTTTATTGATTTCCATTACATATTTGGGAAGAAAAAACAATTAATGTAAATTTTTAACCCAAATTCTTTTAAAGTAGTTCTATTACACCATAGTTACTTTGTCCAAGAAAGAAAGTAGTTACAGAGAACTCCAGTGTTTGCAATGAAAGTCTCCAAGTCTTTGGCCTTTTCATGCAGGGCTTCCAGGCCAATGAGGTTTGGGAGTCCGCTCCGGGTTTTAGTCTGAACATTAACAGTTTGATCCAATAATAAAGAACTATGGCAGTCTTTTAGTTTGGACTTTAACAAACTTATCCAACAAACATTTAACAAATTCATTTAAAAACAGGAGCAAAACCGTTAGAGTCCGCTTTGGGTTTTAGTCCGAACTTTAATTAATTTTATCCAATGAGGAAAGAGATCACAGTCTTTTAGGTTAATTTAATCCAATTAACTTTTAACAGCCTTGTCCAAAATAGGTGAAAAATAAACCATTTTGGAGATCACAGTCTTTAAGTTCGCTTTGGGTTTTAGTCCGAACTTTAATTAATTTTATCCAATGAGGAAAGAGATCACAGTTTTTTAGGTTAATTTAATCCAATTAACTTTTAACAGGCTTGTCCAAAATAGGTGAAAAATAAACCATTTTGGAGATCACAGTCATTAGGTCCGCTTTGGGTTTTAGTCCGAACTTTAATCATACTGGAACCTAGTCTGAACTTTAATGAGCCATACAATTAGGAAAAAGAACAACAGTTGAGTCTCATTAAAACTTTTGAGTTCACTTTGGGTTTTAGTCCGAACTTTAATGAAACCATTCAACGAGGGGGGGAAAACAGTTTCAGAGTTTGAAGTCTGGTTTGGGTTTTAGTCCGAACTTTAATTGACTTATCCAATCAGGGAAAAAATGTTTGGAGATTGGAGTCTTTAAAATCCGCTTTGGGTTTTAGTCCGAACTTTAACAAACTCATCCAATGAGAAAACTTCTATTTCGGACAGAGTGCCCAATGGGCTGAATCTCAAAGAGCTGCTTTACATGTTTGGGATAAATAAACCCTGGAGCGGATTCGCAGCCCGACTGACTCGGAAGCTGGAGCGGAATAGGTGGAGAGGCGGGCGCTTCATCCGGTTAGAAGAGGGAGATTCCTCCACATAAGTTCACATTCAGGATGAGGAGGTTGATCCCAGCACAAGCCCGTCCTCCCACTAATGGAGGCGGCCCTAAAGGGAGAGAAAATGGGGTCAAGTCATTGCAGTCCCAGTCTGGTCTTGGATGCTAAGCAGGGTCGGCCATGGATGGCGCTTGGAGGGGAGATCGCCAATGCAAGCCTATACACTCTATGCTAGCAAAAGTAAATCTGAGCATCATTTGCTTAAAGAAATCCCACTCAGGGCAAGGCTAAATACCTTAAAAGCACCAAATCCTGTCTGATCATGGAAGCTAAGCAGGGTCAAGCCTGGATGGTACTTGGAGGGGAGACTGCCAGCAAATGCCAACTTTGCGTAAGAAATGTATGGGCTCCCCATAAGTCTACAGGTACATTTTAATCTGTAATCTTATGGAAAGCCTGCTTTGCCCATAGAAACCCATAGAAGGAATCACACTCCCTCAGCCCTGGATAATGGGAAACTACTTGAAACAACAACAACAACAACAACAAAACAACAACAACAACACCTTGCCTCCTGCACAATAATAATAACAATAAATATAATAATAATTTTATTATTATTATATTTATATAAAAATAATAATCTAATAATAATGTAATATTAATAATGAAACAATAATGATTTAATAGTTTAATAATAATAATTTAATTTAATAATAATAATCAAATAATTTAAATAATGATATAAAATATTAATATCATATTTTAGTGATATAATAGTAATGAAACAATAATGAAATAATAATTTAATAAGGATAATAATATATCATTAAAATATTATGATTAAATTATTAAATTATTATTCTTAAATTATAATAATAATGAAACAATAATGAAATAATAATTTAATAAGGATAATAATATAATTTAAGAATAATAATTTAATAATTTAATAATAATATTGTTATTGTTTTATTATAGTTATTCATATTTAATAATGTAATAATTTAATCATTACATTATCAATTATTCTTAAATTATAATAATAATGAAACAATAATGAAATAATAATTTAATAAGGATAATAATATAATTTAAAAATAATAATTTAATCATTTAATAATAATATTGTTATTGTTTTATTATAGTTATTCGTATTTAATAATGTAATAATTTAATCATAATAATAATGTAATCATTTAATCATCATAATTTAATAGTAACATAATTTGATTTAATAATAATAACAATTTATTTATGTATTTATTTATCGTATTTGTATACCACCTTTCTCATCCTGAAGGTGACTCAAGGTGGTTTACAATACAACAATAATTTAATATAATAAATATTCACAATATTATTAATAATAATTCTAGGCAAACTCACTTGCATACTCCGTAGCCCAGTAGGTTGTCAAGCCGCTGCAAATGGCCTGGATCGGGGCCCCAAGGGTGGCCATGTTGGAGACCAGTTGGCGAGAAATCCCATAACTTCTGCTAATGGAATGGATCGATTGGCCCTATATAGATTGCATGGAGAGAGGAAACTACAATGTCGTGCAATGCATGGGATCTATAGCACTTTTGAAAACTTTTTAAAAACTGATAAATCCAACCATACAATTCACCATTCTGGACACAAGGTGGCAGCAAAGATATAACAAATGCATATACAATGACTCCACTAAGGTTGAAAAATCCACTACCGGATATACTCAAGTATAAGCTGACCTGAATATAAGCCGAGGCAGCTAATTTTATTACAAAAAACTGGGAAAACATATGGACTTGAGTATAAGCAGATGACACACAACTCTATTACTCATTTCCACCCATCTCCAAGGAGGCCTCCCGGGTCCTGGACGAGTGCCTGGCCGCTGTGTCTATCTGGATGAGGAAGAACAAGCTGAAGATCAATCCCGACAAGACAGAGGTCCTCCTGGTTGATCGTAAACCTGACCGGGGTATAGGGTGGCAACCTGTGTTGGACGGGGTTACACTCCCCCTGAAGCCACAGGTCCGCAGTTTGAGAGTCCTCCTGGATTCATCGCTTACGCTTGAGGCTCAGGCGTCGGCGTTGTCCGGGAGGGCTTTCGCACAATTGAGACTCTTGCGCCAACTGCGACCATACCTCGCAAAGGCTGATCTGGCTGGGGTGGTCCATGCCTTGGTCACCTCTAGATTGGACTACTGCAATGCGCTCTACATGGGGCTGCCCTTGAAAACGGCTCGGAAATTTCAACTGGTCCAACGGGCAGCGGCCAGGATGTTAACTGGGGCCCCTTACAGAGAGAGGTCAACCCACCTGTTCAAGGAGCTCCATTGGCTGCCGTTTATTTTCCGAGCCCAATTTAAGGTGCAGGTGCTTACCTACAAAGCCCTAAACGGTTTGGGACCAGCCTACCTGCGTGACCACATCTCCGTATATGAACCCATGCGCTCACTTTGTTCATCCGGTGAGGCCCTGCTTGCGATTCTGCCTGCATCGCAGGCGTGTCTGGTGGGGACGCGAGACAGGGCCTTTTCCGTGGTGGCCCCCCGACTCTGGAACACCCTCCCCAAAGATCTTAGACAGGCCCCTACGTTGGCAGTCTTTAGAAAGAACTTGAAGACCTGGCTGTTCCGATGTGCCTTTCCAGAATAGGAAAACTCCAACAACAAGTCCCAGAAGCACTTTATTAGAAATTAAGATTGCTGGCACACTGCACTTACCCTATAATCCTTACATATCACCTGTCACATCAGCACTTTTAATCTGTACCCATTACTCTGGCCTGGCCCAGTTTTATTGTGTCCTGGTGTATTGTTTTATTGCTTGTTGTTTAATATTGCTTTAACTGTTTTTAATTTACTTTAGGTTGTGTATTGTTAAGTTGTGTATTGAGGCCTTGGCCTTTGTAAGCCGCATCGAGTCCTTCGGGAGATGCTAGCGGGGTACAAATAAAGTTAATAATAATAATAATAATAATAATAATAATAATAAGCCGAGGATGGGAAATGCAGCATCTACTGGTAAATTTCAAAATAAAAATAGATACCAATAAAATTACATTAATTGAGGCATCAGTAGATTAAATATTTACATAAAACTGTAATTTAAGATAAGACTGCCCAACTCTGATTAAACCATTATTCTAACCTTCTTCAACGTAAATGTGCTTATGTATCCTTCCAATAATAATAAAGAGAGTAAAATAATAAATGTAATAATAATATAATAATAATAATAATGGAAATGTAATAATACCAGTAATAATACCATAAAATAATACATGTAATAACAATAATAAATAAAGTAAAATAATAAATGTAATAATAATAATAGAGTAAAATTATAAATGTAATAAAAATAATAACAGAGGAAAATAATAAATAACCTTGACTCAAGTATTTATTTATTTATTTATTTATTATTTGAACTTATGTGCCGCCACTCCCCTGGGGCTCGGAGCGGCTTACAAGAATGGCTAAAATCTAACAAAATTTAAAAGCAATTTAAAATAATTTAAAAACAGCAATATTAAAAGCCTGTTGAAACAGGTATGTCTTACATGCCCTGCGGAAAGCTGGTAAGTCCCACAAGGCACGGACTTCAGGTGGCAGAGTATTCCAGAGTGATGGTGCCACTGCTGGGAAGGCTCTGCGTCTGGTTGCTGTTAGACGCAAGGTCTTGACACTGGGAATTTCCAATAGATCTTGGTCCTCAGAACGGAGGGATCTCTAGGGTTGGTAGGGGATGAGGCGGTCCCTCAGGTACATCGGCCCCAGACCATGCAAGGCCTTAAAGGTGAGTACCATCACTTTGAAAGTGATCCGGTGCTCAATTGGTAACCAATGCAGCTGTAGTAAGATTGGTGTTATGTGGCATCTCATTGGAATTCCCGCAAGAAGCCGAGCAGCTGTGTTTTGTACCAACTTGAGCTTCCAGATCACCGACAGAGGAAGGCCAATGTAGAGGGCATTACAGTAGTCCAGTCTTGAGATGACCGTGGCCTGGGGTATAAGCCGAGGGGGACTTTTTCAGCCTAAAAAAAGGGCTGAAAAAGCTGAAGCCGACACACATTCTGCCACCTACCTGATGGGTCATTTGGTCCAGCTGCGATATATTTGGGAAGTTGTTCCGGTTCATCCGGGACACGACACATATCCTCTTGTAGGGCATGTGGTAGGCGATCATGCCCTGCAAGGCAAAACCCCCAAGGATAGCATGAGCAAAGGAAGCGGCTGAGAGAATGAGAACTTTTCCTTTCTTGCACGAACCTGGATTCATGCCCAAAATTACAACATGGAAGAGCTTTGCTCAAATCCTTCCTCTGCCATGGAAACCCCATTGGATGACATTTGAAACTTTACTTGATGGTACACTGGACCTGTGCTATCATCCATCTATATAAATAAAAATGTAATGTTTGTTTGTGGGATTAACATAACTCAAAAACCACTGGATTAATTGACACCAAAATTGGACACAAGACACCTCTCAGGCCAACAAATGACCATCACGCATAAAAACACTGAAAAACACAGGAGAAGGGACTTAAAAAGTAAAAAAAAACATTACAACACATGTGCAAAACCACATATATACAGTATACACAAACACACATATACTCAGACTGGGCCACAGGAACGCGTGGCAGGCAGAGGCGGCCCTAGGTAATTTTCAACGGTAAGCAAACAGTATTTTGGCCACCCCCCCCCCAACCAATCATTGATATATATTTTCTGTTTGTTGTGGGAGTTCTGTGTGCCATATTTGGTTCAATTCCATCATTGGTGGAGTTCAGAATGCTCTTTGATTGTAGGTGAACTATACATCCCAGTAACTACACTTGCCGCACTTGCTCCCTTGCCTGGCCCGCTTTGGGTCCGGAGGCGTGCCTGAAGACACCGGCGTGTGCACCAAAAGTCACCTCTTCTCCTGACTTTCTCCTCAGCCATTGGGACCGAGAGAGAGAGAGAGACAGAGGTGGAGATGCCCACCTTTCCTGAAGGTAGGCGCAAAAACAAAGGAGGGAGCGGAGGTGGGAGATACCTCCAGCGGGAGGGGCTCTCTCTCTCTCTCTCTCTCTCTCTCTCTTGAGGAAGTGAGGAGAAGAGGCGACTTTTGGTGCACATGCTGGGGTCTTCAGACACGCCTCCGGACCCGAAGCGAGCCAGGTGTGGCGGCTCCGCCCCTTGGCCCACCTGCAGATTGGGGAGAGGAGAGGAGGCGGGTGGAGAGCCAGGGGATCAGGAAAGGGAGCCGGTCATGGGGAAGGGATCGAATGCGGAGAACGATTGAGCGCTGGCTCTGCTCGCATACCCAGTGGCCAGGTGGAGTAGGAATGAGAGGGGCTAGGCGAGGCTCAAGGGCCCGGCCCCTTTGGGAAGAGAATTGCCCAGCAGCGAGGCAAGCGAGGCTCCCCCCCCCCCCGGACTGCTAGGGCTGTTGAGAGCTGAGGGGGCGCTCCTCAAGTGGCAGTCGAGGGGCATTTACAGAGGCGCCTCTGCGCCCCTGGCAAAAAAAAGTGTTCTGCGACCGCTTACTTCGCGTAATGGACGAGCCGCCCCCGGTGGCAGGGGACGGCTAGTGTGTGTGTGTATGTATATCACATACACACACACACATACACACACATATATATAGACACATTCATATATATATAAACACACACATACATGCAAATACATATACATACATACACATACATTTATCTGTCAATCATATCTCTATCTGTCAATCATATCTCTCTTATCATATCTATCTCAGTCATAAATATTTCAATCATATCTATCTCAATAATATCTATATATCTAATATCTATCATAACTCTGTCATATCTATCTATCTCAATCATATCTATCTGATCATATCTATCTCAATCATTTCTATGTAATCATATAATATCTATTTCATATCTATCTAATCACATCTATCCATCTCAATCATCTCTCTCACTCTCTCTGTCAATCATGTCTATCCTATCTGCATGGCCATCCATCAGGAGGGCTTGGATTGTGTCTTCCTTTATGGCAGGAGAAGGTCAGACTGGATGGCCCTTTGAAAGATCCTTTCCAACTCAAGGATTCTATGGTTCTATGACTTCCAGTAGCCCCAGCGCGCTTCCTTACACTGTTGTAATCCACAATGGCGTTGCTGGAGTGGGGCCCGGAGTAGATGTTGAAGGCAGCCACATTGGTGTGGTGGTTGATGTTGACCGTCTGGTAGACCGTGCTTCCATCATTCCCTTTGTTAATCAGCTGGATGGCCTGGGAACAAAGGAGAGCATTGTGGCGGATGGAAGCAGATCACCTACGGGTGGGCTAGATGACCTCAAGGGCACCCTTATAGAAAAGGCTGCCCCATCCGATGACCAATGTCCAAATGAAGGAGGGCATTGTGGTGGGTGGAAGCCCATGAGGTTATAGCTTCGAGCAGAAACAAAACTTTTGCAGTTGATTAAACTTTCCCCATGTTTTGATGATCGAACCAATTAGCAAATGTCATTTATAACCCAGGAACAAAAATCATGTCACATAGTGTAATATAATAATATAATATAATAATACAATTATTATATAATAATATAATATAATAATAAATATTATCATAATATGTCTTAAATCAGGATGATGTCCCTCTCACAAACAACAGATCTTGATTTCCACAAGACCTTCAGTAAAGTCCCCTATGATCTTCTTGCAAGCAACTTAGTCCAATGTGAAATAGATAATGTTCCTGCAAGATACACATCTGAAAAAGATCTTGGAGTCTTCGTGGAGCACAAGCTCAACATGAGCCAAGAGTGTGATGCAGCTGCTGAAAAAGCCAATGGGATTTTGGGCTGCATCCAGGCATGTAGCCGGGGGGGGGGGGGGGGGGGGGGGGGCTTGAGGGGCTTCGCCCCCCCCCCGAAATTCTCATGGTGGTTCGCGAAAAGGCCTTACTGGTGCATTATTTAAACTGTTATGTTTATTCATATCATGATCTGATCACCATACTCAATATATCCCATATGCATGGGGGTATTGGGGTAATGATACAAAAGGTTTACTAGGCTAGACCCTCTTTCACTCAGACTCAGCCCCCCCCCGAAACTCACCCCCCCCCCCCCCCCGAAAAAAAACCCCCCCCCCCCCCGAAATGAAATCCTGGCTACGGGCCTGGCTGCATCAGAGGAAGTCTAGTGTCTAAAACTCTAAGTCAATGGAAGTCATGATGCCTCTCTATGCTACTGGGTCTGTTTATCCTCCAGAAGAGAGAAAGACATAAGAGCCATGAATAAATAGGTGAAAGGATGCTATAAGGAAGAGGGAGCAGGCTTCCTTTCTACTGCCTTGGAAACTAGGACTCAGTGGAGCCATGGGCTCAAATGACAGGAAAAGAGACTCCATCTGAACATGAGAGCCGTTCAGCAGTGGAACTCTCTGCTCCGGAGTGTGGTGGAGGCTCCTTCTTTGGAAGCTTTTAAACAGAGGCTGGATGGCCATCTGTCAGGGATGATTTGAATGCAACATTCCTGCTTCTTGGCAGGGGATTGGACTGGATGGCCCATGAGGTCTCTTCCAACTCTTTGATTCTATGATTCTATGGGGAATAACTTTTTAGAACTGTTCAACAGTGGAACTCTCTGCTTTGGAATTCAGTGGAAGCTCCTTACTTGGAAGCGTTTAAACAGAGCCTGGATGGCCATCTGTTGGAAGTGCTTTTATTGTGCATTTCCCACATGACTGCAGAAGTGGGATAGACTAGATGGCCTTTAGAGGTCCCTTCCAACTGATTCTGTAACCTGTTCCATCTTTTGGTGGCGGATCCCTGCGCCAGTGAGGGGTGGACTATATGTCCTCAGGAGGACCTTTCCAGGGACCTATGTGTGCGTCTACACTGGAAGGGTCCTCCTGAGGTCATCTAGTCCATCCCGCATCAATGCAGACAGAGGAAGACAGACTTTAAAAAGAAGCGAAACTGGGTACTTACATTACTTGCAGACACTGAGTCTGTAAGGAGCCCCAGGAAGGCGACTGCAAAGATCTTGAAAACAGAATGAAAACATAAGATTAATGCAAAATAAAAACACTTTAGGCAAACTTTTTATGTTTCAAAAAATGAGGAAAAAATGCATATTCATCCATAAGTCTTCCTTGCCTAAGAAATCCCAATTGAATTAACGAGGTCCCCATAAATGAACCATAGATGGCATAGAAAGGCTTTGCACACTTTCCCGCACAGACCCCGTCCTATATTGCTATATTTCCTGGACAACACGTGCAATGTATTACAAATAGGTGATAACAATACAATTTATTTATTTATTTTTATTTATCGTGTCAGGAGTAACCAGACATTTGGCAAACAATACAATAAAAAATAATTTAAAAAACACATGTAGAATTAATGCAGTTTGGTCCCACTTGAATAATAATAATAATAATAATAATAATAATAATAATAATTTTTAAAAATTGTATCAGGAGCGACTTGAAAAACTGCAAGTTGCTTCTGGTATGAGAGAATTGGCCGTCTGCAAGGACGTTGCCCAGGGGACGCCCGGGTGATTTGATGTTTTTATCATCCTTGTGGGAAGCTTCTCTCATGTCCCCACATGAGGAGCTGGAGCTGATAGAGGGAGCTCATCCACGCTCTCCCCGGATTCGAACCTGCGACCTGTCGGTCTTCAGTCCTGCCGGCACAGGGCTTTAACCCACTGCGCCACCGGGGGCTCCGACATTATAATAATAATAATAATAATAATAATAATAATGATACAATAGAGGGTCCTGTCCAGTCCGGGCCAAACTACAACTCCCACGTTCCACAGCACTGAGCCATGGCAGCTCAAGCAATGTCAAACTGGATTAGTTCAACAGTGTAGATGATAAAAACTCGCTTTGGAAATGTCGACTATACTTACAAGAGTCCTCATTGTGGTTCCTTGCTTGTATCTGGATCAATGGGGATTTCTGGCTTTTATATAGAGGTCTCCACCAGAAGTGCATCCGAAGACATGGAGTCTGCTCAAATATTGATTCTTCTCATTCCGGACCGATGGGAAGCGATGCTTTCGGACGGATGAGAAACTCTGCATAGAAAGCTAAATATTGTCTTTGCTAAATATTATTGACTGTCTTCTCATCCATCCTAACGAAGCCAAACATGATGACTGGATGGAGCAAATAGGCATTAGAAGTTAATGAGCCTTGTTGGTCTATTGATACAAGACATGTAAACTGGGCTTAGGATGGTGGCTTTTAGGTGGATGTATTCCTTATAAGAAATAATGTATTTTTGCTGCAAAACGACATGACATTTTCAGGCACTGGGTTGTTGTATTGTCGAAGGGTTTCATGGCCGGAATCACTGGGTTTTCGTAGGTTTTTTCAGGCTATATGGCCATGGTCTAGAGGCATTCTCTCCTGACGTTTTGCCTGCATCTATGGCAAGCATCCTCAGACTACACAGAGAAGCCATTGAAATCCACAAGCATGTGGACAATTTCAACAGAAAGGAGGAAACCATGAAAATGAACAAAATCTGGCTACCAGTATTAAAAAAACTCTAAAATTACAACAGCAAACAACAGAGAGGAAACAAACAAGGACATCTAATCACCTCTCAACAAAAGTTTGCTCTAGGTACTGTCAAGCTATTATATGCTAATCAAGGTGATCAGTTGAAACATTCACACCTAGCTCCAGCAGACAAGAGTCCTTTGCCCCACCGTGGTCATTCCACAGATATATAAACTCTTTTTCCTACTTCCAACAGACCTCACTACCTCTGAGAATGCTCGCCATAGATGCAGGCGAAACATCAGGAGAGAATGCCTCTAGACCATGGCCATATAGCCCGAAAAAACCTACAAAAACCCAGTGATTCCGGCCATGAAAACCTTCGACAATACAATTTCAGGCACATTTTAGTGCCTCCTGGCACATTTTGCACCCAACCCCCCATTCTATTTCCTTTGCAGTGCCCAAAGGATGCATCTGCACCATAGAATAGATGCATTGTCTTTACAATGCCCAAAGGATTCCTCTGCATCAAAACAACAGAGAGGAAACAATCAGGGACAGCTAATCACCTCTCAACAAAAGATTCCCACAGGCACTGCCAGGCCATCAAATGCTAATCAAGGTGGTCAGTTAAAACATTCACACCTAGGTCCAGCAGACAAGGGTTCTTTGTCCCACCCTGGTCATTCCACAGATACATAAACCCATTTTCCTAGTTCCAACAGACCTCACTACCTCTGAGGATGCTTTCCATAGATGCAGATGAAACGTCAGTAGAGAATGCCTCTAGAACATGGCCATACAGCCTAAAAAATCCTACAACAACCCAGTGAATGCACTCTCTTTGCAACTCCTAAAGGGTGTATCCGCTATCATCAGCGATCCCTCGTGTCCAAGTGGGATGGCCTTCCAAGTCCAGGGTCTTGGCGGTGGATCTGTCGGTGACCTGCATGGTCTTCTGCAGTGAGGACATCGGTTTCCAGGTGGAAGGCACTCCTGCCAAGTGATGGCTCTGTGATCAGAGGTGACCCCCCCCCCCCCCCCCCCGACTCTGTAAAAGATAGTTCAAAATCAGGGAATTTATAGTTTTGTCAAGGACACTGATATCGGAGGTGACCTCTCCCCCCCCCCCACCCAGGACTCTGTAAAAGATGGTTCAAAACCAACAAATTCGTAGTTTTACCAAGGACACCAGGTTGGAATGATCCCATAATACCCTATCTCTCCCTCATGTGGGAATCTGGCTCTTTCCATGGCCCCACATGGCAATGCCCCTTAATCCACACTTTATGGACTTTTCTATGAACCTTTAGAAACTTTTTCCTCCCCAAGCTTCATGAACTTCCACTATGATTTTAGGCTTTCAATTGACTTTTTGGCGGGTGGGGTGGGTTGATATGATTTCTTTCCCCTCTTTTAGGAATGTATACCTTATGAACCCCTTATATGTCTGTATAAAATATGAAATGTCACCTTTTCATGAATTCAGCCACACATGGGCTCCAGGAGACTTCCTCTTCCCTCCTGGGCCAGATAAGCCCCCAAACAATCAGGAGTCAACAGAAACTCTTGCATGAACAATAGGACAATGGGCATGATCTTTCAGACATCGGAGTTTGCCCATCTGGAGGATCTGCCCCATGGCACAGTCAATCATTCCTCACCACAGGGGACTTCCTGCCTAAAGAGGCTATTGATGTCCCCACAGCCTCCTTCTTTGTTGACATTCCTCAGGCCGATACCAGAAGTCAGGTACTATCAGATACTATCAATCAAACCATATCCCTGACACCAGGTTTTCAAAAGAGTCTGACTTTTGGTCAGACAAAAAAATGTATATTTCCACATTCAAAGACAATAGAAGACCCAGCTTGAAGACTGCCAAAGTTATTGCGGGCGATTATCCATACACTGAGTCACTTAATCCATTCATTTCTTAATTGTTTCCCTCCTGGACCACCTCCTTCTTCCCCATTGGCCAAGAGGCCGAAGCGGCGCTGGCTTGCCCATTGGCTGAGGTACGCCTGAGCTCGCTATGCCTCTCCTCCAGCTGATGTCTGTATGTATGTGTGCATGTGTATATGTATATTGTGTATATGTGCGTGCTTGTGTATATGCATATATGTGTGTTTATATGTGTATGTATGTCTAGATGCATATAGGTGTATATGTATGTGTGTGTATGTGTATATTTGTGTGTGCTTGCACATATATGTATGTGTGTATGTATGTATGCATGTGTATATGTATATTGTGTATATGTGTGTGCTTGTGTATATGCATATATGTGTGTTTATATGTGTATGTGCATATGTATATAGGTGTATATGTATGTGCATGTATGTGTATATTTGTGTGTGCTTGCGCATATATATGTGTGTGTCTGTATGTATGTGTGCATGTGTATATGTATATTGTGTATATGTGTGTGCTTGTGTATATGTGTGTTTATATGTGTATGTATGTGTATATGTATATAGGTGTATATGTATGTGTGTATGTGTATATTTGTGTGTGCTTGTGCATATAAATGTGTGTGTATGTATGTGTGCATGTGTATATGTATATGAATGTATGTGTATATGTATATATTGTTTATTTTGGGGGGTTTTAAAGTCCGTTCTGCTGGGGTTTTTTTGTGTTTTTAGGGTGATGGTCACTCGTTGGCCTAAGAGGTGTATTGTGTCCAGATTTGGTGTCAATTCGCCCAGTGGTTTTTGAGTTCTGTTAATCCCACAAACGAACATTACATTTTTATTTATATAGATTATATAATGCACTCCTCTCTCAAATCATGCATTATATGTTTTGGGCCGTGCGGGCTCTCTTCCAAGGTGTGCCCAGCGCTGTTTGCTCAGAGAAGAAAGAGCATCGTTTTTGGGGTTTGTCTTGCAGGCGTTGGCGTTCTTCGTGGGCAGTTCCACTTGAGGCTCATCCCTTCTAAGCCTGTGGCAAATATTTGGCCCAAGTGCCAGGATTATTCCACTAGGAAACACAATTCGAAAAATGTTCTGTTCCTGGTTCGAAAAGGTTATTACTCTGAAAGGAGTTGTTACACTCCAGAAAGAAACGTTGTTGTTTTCAAGGCTAAACTCTGCTATAGCAGGGTGTCCCTCCTGCAACACTTGTCAACACTTCCAAAACTGTTGCAAAGATCACCCCTTATTGACAACATTTGGATTCATATTCCTCCGTTCAATCAATATTTACCTTTTGATGCATTTTTGCTCCATGCATTTGGTCAGATGGAGGCCATTCAAACCTAAGCCTTGCAAATGCCTCTTAAGCTTTAAAGCCAAAAGGCTCCCACTTATGCAACCAGTTGGGCTTTTTTTCCCTCTGATCCAGAAGAGCCGGGTTCAAATCAAGTCAAGCAGATATGCAGGGCCTTTGTCCTCCCAGGGATGCATGCATGGGTTGCCATTGATGCCACACACGGAAACTGATCATACCTGTACATATCTAGTTTCAAACCAAGCCGAAGGCTAAAGAAGACACCATCAAAGCCCTCCCGACAGATGGACATACAGCCCTAGATATAATAATTTATGCTGGGGAAAGTAGAAGGTAAAAGGAAGAGCGGCCGACAAAGGGCAAGATGGATGGATGGCATCCTTGAAGTGACTGGACTGACCTTGAAGGAGATGGGGGTGGTGACAGCTGACAGAGAGCTCTGGCGTGGGCTGGTCTATGAGGTCACGAAGAGTCGGAGACGACTGAACGAATGAACAACAACAACATATATATATAGGTAAAGGTTTTCCCCTGACATTAAGTCCGGTCGTGTCCGTCTCTGAGGTGTGGTGCTCATCTCCATTTCTAAGCCGAAGAGCTGGCGTTGTCCGTAGACACCTCCAAGGTCATGTGGCTGACATGACTGCATGGAGCACTATTACCTTCCCGCCAGAACAGAACCTATTGATCTACTCACATTTTCATGTTTTCGAACTGCTAGGTTGGCAGAAGCTGGGGCTGACAGCAGAAGCTTACGCCGCTCCCCGGATTCGAACCTGCGACCTTTCGGCCAACAAGCTTGGCAGCTCAATGGTTTAACCCACTGTGCCACTGGGGGCTCCACACACACACACACACACACACACACATGCTAGCCATCCCCTGCCACGCATTGCTGTGGCCCAGTCTGGTGATCTGGAAAATAAAGCATTGAAAAATTGTTGGTTTCTAATATATGTCATGTCTTTATGTTTGTGGGTGAACAGCATTTGTTTACGTTTTCTTGCCCTGGTGAAGGGAGTTGAACTGGATGGCCTTAAGTATTTTCTATTGGTCATAGGAGTTCTGTGTGGGAAGTTTGCCCCAATTCTATCATTTGTGGGGTTCAGAATGCTCTTTGATTGTAGGTGAACTATAAATCCCAGTAACGACAACTCCCAAATGTCTATTTCCCCCAAGATCCATCTGTTTTCCTAGTTGGGCATATGGAATATTTGTGCCAAGTTTGGTCCAGATCCAGCATTGTTTGACTCCACAGTGCTCTCTGGATGTAGGTGAAGTACAACTCCCAAACTCAAGGTCAATGCCCACCAAGCCCTTCTAGTGTTTGGTCATGGGAGTCCTGTGTGCCACGTTTGGTTCAATTCCATCATTGGTGGAGTTCAGAATGCTCTTTGATTGTAGGTGAACTATAAATCCCAGCAACTACAACTCCCAAATGACAAACTCAATTTTTTTGAGTGATGGTCACTCCTTGGGTTAGTTGGTGTCTTGTGGCCAAATTTGTCAGCAATTCGTCCAGTGGTTTTTGAGTTATGTTAGTCCCACAAACGAACATTACATTTTTATTTATATAGATATCTATATCTATCTATCTATATATATATATATCATAGAGTTGAAAGAGACCCCCAAAGGCCATCCAATCTATCCCCCATCTGCCATAAAGGAAGACACCATCAAAAACCTTCCAACCAATAGACATCCAGTCCTAGATATGGTAAATCAGTAGACAGATATTATATTTGTGTGTATATGTACTGTATGTATATGTATATGTGTGTATGTATCTATCTATATCTATGTATATGTGTGTATATATATATATGAATATATGCATATATATGTATATATGCATATGTATATGTATATATGTGTGTATATGTGTATGTACATACACACGCAAACACATACATACACATATATACTGTACATATCATAGAATCATAGAATAAAAGAGTTGGAAGAGACCTCATGGGCCATCCAGTCCAACCCCCTGCCAAGAAGCAGGAATATTGCATTCAAATCACCCCTGACAGATGGCCATCCAGCCTCTGTTTAGAAGCTTCCAAAGAAGGATCCTCCACCACACTCCGGGGCAGAGAGTTCCACTGCTGAACGGCTCTCACAGTCAGGAAGTTCTTCCTCATGTTCAGATGGAATCTCCTCTCTTGTAGTATGAAGCCATTGTTCCGTGTCCTAGTCTCCAAGAAAGTAGAAAACAAACTTGCTCCCTCCTCCCTGTGGCTTCCTCTCACATATTTATACATGGCTATCATATCTCCTCTCAGCCTTCTCTTCTTCAGGCTAAACATTAAGCCGCTCCTCATAGGGCTTGTTCTCCAGACCCTTGATCATTTTAGTTACCCTCCTCTGGACACATTCCAGCTTGTCAATATCTCTCTTGAGTTGTGGTGCCCAGAATTGGCAATATTCCAGGGTGACACAATATGATGATAGATATACCGTAATACCATAGATTTGGAAATGAATCCATTCTCCCATTCAGGAAGTTACCACTGAATCCCTCCTGACCGATGGCCATTCAGCTTTGCTCCAAAACTTCCAGTATTTCCAAAAGCAATTCACCCAAAAGTTTATGATGACGGAGTCAATGCTCACCATCTCTGTCCAGAGGCGATTTTAAACTGAAAAACATAGCAGATCCCTACAAAACTATGGGACTGGACCTGAAAGGAAAGATTTCAGCCTCTTTGGCTACAGGATGGGAACGAGACCAACAAATAAGTGACACAGGCTTGCTAATTCTCGGCACGCTTTTAATTGGCAATCAACCTCCATAGATGCTTAAGGAAAATTCCACCTTGGGGAGAAAGGACAGGTAGGGTATTAGTACTGGTAGTCCTGGTAGGATTCTCCACAATAGCTGATCCCCAGAACGCAGAGGATGTCTGCCCTCCAGCAGGATCCAGAGAAGTAGGCAAAGCTCCGTCCTGCAGACAAACACATTGCAGAAAAAGGTCATATTGCCATCAAAGTGGTACCAAACTGGGTTAATTCTACAGTGTGGACCAGGCATGGGCCAACTTCGGCCCTCCCTCTGGGTTGTTTTGGGCTTCAACTCCCACAATTCCTAACAGCCGGTAACAATAATAATGCTATAACAATATTATTATTATTATTATTATTATTATTATTATTATTATTATATAATATTAGAATATTATAATATACTACTAATAAAATAGAATAATAATAATAATAATAATAATACCGATGACGGATAGATGAGAGATGGAGAGAGATTATAGGGATATATGATGGTTGGTTGGTTGGATGGATGGAAAGAGTGGGTAGGTGGATAGAGAGGGAGGGAGAGAGATAGGATGGATAGATGGATCGATTGATGGATGAACCGAGATAGATAGACAGATTAGATCAGTGCTTCTCAGCCTTCCTAATGCCACGACCCCTTAATACAGTTCCTCATGTTGTGGTGATCCCCAACCATTAAATTATTTTTGTTGCTCCTTCATAACTAATTTTGCTACTGTTATGAATCACAATGTAAATATCTGATATGCAGGATGTATTTTCATTCACTAGACCAAATTTGGCGCAAATACCCAATAGGCCCAAATTTGAATACTGGTGGGGTTGGGAGGGGATTGATTTTGTCTTTTGGGAGTTGTAGTTGCTGGGATTTATAGTTTGCCTGTAATCAAAGAGCATTCTGAACTCCACCAATGATGGAATTTAACCAAACTTGACACGCAGAACTCTCATGACCAACAGAAAATGCTGGAAGGGTTTGGTGGTCATTGACCTTGAGTTTCGGAGTTGTAGTTCACCTACATCCAGAGAGCACTGTGAACTAAAACAATGATGGATCGGGACCAAACTTGGCACGGGTACTCAATATGCCCAAATGTGGAGATGTTTGACATTTGGGAGTTGTAGTTGCTGGGATTTATAGTTGACCTACAATCAAAGAGCATCCTCAATCCCACGAATGATAGAATTGGGCCAAACTTCCCACATAGGACCCCCAGGACCAACAGAAAATATTGTGTTTTCTGATGGTCTTTGGTGACCCTTCTGACACACCCTCACGACCCCCCCAGGGGTCCCGACCCCCAGGTTGAGAAACGCTGGATTAGATAGATCGATTGGAGAGAGAGTAGTTACAGATGATAAAGGATAGATTGATGGATAGATGGATGGATAGATGGATAGATGGATAAATGGATGGATAGATAGATAGATAGATAGATAGATAGATAGATAGATAGATAGATAGATGATAGATAGACAGACAGATGAAGGGGGAATGCCTGTCCATCTCACCTTTTGCTTCGTAGGACTGGTAGGTGGGGATCCCTTTGCATAAGGCCTGAATGTTCTTCCCGTACGGGGTCAGGTCCGTGATGCGCTTGGAGGAGACTATGTAAGTGACCTCTTTCTGGGCAGGCCCTTTAGTTCGGTCCTTCTGCATACACAGGAAGCAAGTCCACAGCGTTAGAAGGTTATAGAAAGGGTGCCAGGACCCCAACCCCAGGACTGACTTGCAGGAACCCTCCTTTGGTCCTCACCTGCTTGATCCTGATGGTATCGGGAAGTGTGGTGACATCTGGCATGACCTCGGGGTTCATTTTTGACACGATGCAGGCTTTCTTGGACAGGATCCGGGTGGCGACATAGCCCTGCCCCGGCCAAACAGAAAGCGGTTGTTATAGTTTCCCAAGGATGACTCTTACAGGACTGCTATCAAAACAGTTTGGGATATCTTCAACAGCCTCTGCTCAAGGCTAGGAAGCCCTGGGAGTTGTCGCTTGGGTGGATGAGGTGAAAGACTGCAACTCCCAGGATCCCGTAGCATGGAGCCATGGCAGTTCAAGAAGCGCCAGACTGCATTAATACTGAAGACACATAGGTTGGAATATCTGAAATCTACGAGTTGCCAGACTCCAGTAATACTAAAGACAAGTAGATTGGAATAATTGAAATCTGCAATATTTGCTTAACAATATTTGTTAATGATCACTTCTGTGATATTTGCTAATGGTAACTGTTTGGCAAATGTACTCAACAATCATTGCAAATGTGTATCAACTACCACTGCTTTGATTTGCAAACAACACTGTGTGTAGAATCATAGAATCATAGAATCAAAGAATCTATCTATCTATCTATCCATCCATCCATCCATCCATCCATCCATCCATCCACCCACCCACCCATCCATTTATCCATCTATCCATCTATCCATCAATCCATCCTTTATCATCTGTAACTACTATCTCTCTCCAATCGATCTATCTAATCCAGCGTTTCTCAACCTGAGGGTCGGGACCCCTGGGGGGGTCGTGAGGGTGTGTCAGAGGGGTCACCAAGACCATCAGAAAACACATTTTCTGTTGGTCCTGGGGGTCCTATGTGGGAAGTTTGGCCCAATTCTATCATTTGTGGGATTGAGGATGCTCTTTGATTGTAGGTCAACTATAAATCCCAGCAACTACAACTCCCAAATGTCAATGTCTCTTTCCCCCAAACTTCTCCACATTTGGGCATATTGAGTATCCGTGCCAAGTTCGGTCCCGATCCATCATAGAATCATAGAATCAAAGAATCAAAGAGTTGGAAGAGACCTCATGGGCCATCCAGTCCAACCCCCTGCCAAGAAGCAGGAATATTGCATTCAAATCACCCCTGACAGATGGCCATCCAGCCTGTTTAAAAGCTTCCAAAGAAGGAGCCTCCACCACACTCCGGGGCAGAGAGTTCCACTGCTGAACAGCTCTCACAGTCAGGAAGTTCTTCCTCATGTTCAGATGGAATCTCCTCTGTTGTAGTTTGAAGCCATTGTTCCGCGTCCTAGTCTCCAGGGAAGCAGAAAACAAGCTTGCTCCCTCCTCCCTGTGGCTTCCTCTCACATATTTATACATGGCTATCATATCTCCGCTCAGCCTTCTCTTCTTCAGGCTAAACATGCCCAGCTCCTTAAGCCGCTCCTCATAGGGCTTGTTCTCCAGACCCTTGATCATTTTAGTCACCTCCTCTGGACACATTCCAGCTTGTCAATATCTCTCTTGAATTGTGGTGCCCAGAATTGGACACAATATTCCAGGTGTGGTCTAACCAAAGTGGAATAGAGGGGTAGCATTACTTCCCTGGACCTAGACGCTATGCTCCTATTGATGCAGGCCAAAATCCCATTGTTTTTTTTTTTTTGCCACCACATCACATTGTTGGCTCATGTTTAACTTGTTGTCCACGAGGACTCCAAGATAATTCAACCTCGCTTGGTGTGAACATGTAGACTCCAACCAGAAGTCCTTGAGATTGTCTAACAAGTTCTAGATCCTTCAATACAACTTTATGGCTAAATTCCAGAATTGGACTACAGAGTTGCACTGGAGGAACATTAAAGTTCTAAAGAAATGTCCCCATAAGGGAATTCTAGGTCCTTCAATGCAACTCAATGGGAAATCTCCATTGGAATTGAACTATAGTCACACTTGAGGAACTTAGTGATCCTTAGAGAAAGCATTAACATCAAATCCAGACCCCAAAAGTCTGCAAATCTAAGGAGCAGGCTGCAATTGCTTGCACTGTATTGCCTTGCAGAGTGTGATTTGCAACCTGTGCTCCTCATTTCAACACAAATAGGCATCTTAAATGCATCTTACGCTGGGGTAATCCCAGACGGTGTTCCAGGAGTGCCACCCATTGTTGTTGTCCACGTTCACCACCTGCTTCTGGTTGTCGATGCTGACGGACTGGTGGGAACTGCCCCCAACGTTGCCCTGGTTCCTTTCGTTGATGTTCTTGGGGACAAAGGCAGAGGAAATCAGAATTGAAGCAGCCCAGAGCTCTATAGAATCATAGCATTGGAAGGGACCCTCCAAAGGCCATCTAGTCCCACCCCAAACCTACCACAAAGGAAAAGCACCATCAAAGCCCCCCCCCCCCCAACAGGTGGCCATTCAGTTTTGGCTTAAAGTTATTAATTTATTATTATTATTATTTTACTGACATAAAAACACAGTATGTCACAGCAAATGAGAGAGATATGCTGGATTTCATATCACATAATAATAATAATAATAATAATAATAATAATAATAATAATAATAATGTGGTGGCACGGCAGTGCCAGGAGATTTAAACTTCTCTCTCTCTCTTTTTTTTTTTTTGCATTGCTAGTTTGTATGAATTTATTTAAGCCATGCATTTTGCAATCAGGTAGCTTCCCCAGGTTACAGCCATAGGTCCAGCAGCCTGGCAATCATCATTAGAATCTTTAGACCCGCCCCTTTCCCCAGGGTTTTGGAGGCAAAGGAGGACTTTTGTTCAGTCTGACTGTTTGGAGCCTAACAGCAGGACGTTTGAGTTTCTCTATCCCACCTGCGCAAAGGCTTCACTACTCACAGCTCTGCTGGGGGAGTAAAGGAATAGTTCCACAGCTTTGCTGGGGGAATACAGCCAGCTTTTGCTGGGGAAACAGGACAGTTCCTACAGCCTTCGTGGAGTAAACTAAAGGACACATTTCAGCTTGGCAGATCTACAGAAATCTTGTCTGGTAAGGGACCACTCAGGCTATCCATAAAGTAGCTTGGAGCCGAGAGTAGGGGTCTCACGCCAGCAAGGTAAAGAAAGATTGCCCAAGGAGGAAGGAACAGTTTACCCCCAGTTGCTTGCCGTTGTTGGCAGATTGAGGAAGCTACCAGTTTTCCAAGGTTATAAAGCGTTTAATTCATTTGTTTGAAGATTTAAGCCCAAATAAAGAACTTTGTTGAACTTATTTTGAGCCTCAATAGAACTTTGTGTTGGGAAATCTAAGGGGCCCTTCAGCTGAGGCACCCCGGCATCCCGTTGGGCATACAGAAAGCACGTCCTGTAAACAGACATTATTTCAGGCCCAGCGTGCGACAGCATAAATAATAATAATAATAATAATAATAATAATAATAATAATAATTATTATTATTATTATTATTATAGAATCCTAGAGTTGTAAGGGACCCCAAGGGGCATCTAATACAACCCCAAATCTACCATGGAGGCAAAGCACCCTCGACAGATGGCCATCCAGCCACTGTTTAATAATAAATATAATTATAATTATAGAATCCTCGAGTTGGAAGGCACCCCAAGGCCATCCAGTCCAACCTCTTCCTGTCTGTCAGGAAATGAGCAAAGGCAGAGGAAATCAGAATTGAAGCAACCCAGAGCTATATACAGTCGTAGCATTGGAAGGGGTCCCCCAAAGGCCAGCTAGTCCCACCTCAAATCTACCATGAAGGAAAAGCACCATCAATGCCCTCCCAACAGGTAGTCATTCAGCCTTGGCTTAAAGTTGTTGTTGTTGTTATTATTGTTATTATTGTTGTTGTTATTATTATTATTATTATTATTATTATTATTATTATTATAGAATCCTAGTGTTGGAAGGGATCCCAAGGGGGATCTAGTCCAACGCCAAATCTACCATGGAGGCTAAGCACCATCAAAACACTCCTGACAGATGGCCATCCAGCTACTGCTTAATAATAAATATAATTATAATGATAGAATCCTAGAATCGAAAGGCACCCCAAAGGCCATCCAGTCCAATCTCTTTCTGTCTGTCAGGAAAAGAACGAAAGTAGTGGAAATCAGAATTGAAACAGCCCAGAGCTATATAGAATCATAGCATTGGTCAACTAGTCCCACCCCAAACCTACCACAAAGGAAAAGCACCATCAAAGCCCTCCCAACAGGTGGCCATTCAGCCTTGGCTTATTGTTATTGTTATTGTTATTGAATCCTAGAATTGGAAGGGACCCCAAGTGGCATCTAGTACAACCCCAAGTCTACCATGGAGGCAAAGCACAATCAAAGCCCTCCCAAAAGGTGGCCATCCAGCCTCAGTTTAAGATCATCAACATCATTATCATCTTTATTATAGAATCTTAGAGTTGGAAGTGACTCCAAGGGCCCTTCAGTCCAACCCCAATCTATAGGACGACTCCATAAGAGCCCTCCCGACAGATGAGCATGTGACCTCAATAATAATAATAATAATAATAATAATAATAATAATAATAATAATTGTCGAAGGCTTTCATGGCTGGAATCACTAGGTTCTTGTGGGTTTTTTCGGGCTATAGGGCCATGTTCTAGAGGCATTTCTCCTGACGTTTCGCCTGCATCTATGGCAAGCATCCTCAGAGGTAGTGAGGTCTGTTGGAAATAGGAAAATGGCTTTATATATCTGTAGAAAGACCAGGGTGGGACAAAGAACTCTTGTCTGCTGGAGCTAGGTGTGAATGTTTCAACTGACCACCTTGATTAGCATTTGAGGGCCTGGCAGTGCCTGGAGCAATCTTTTGTTGAGAGGTGATTAGATGTCCTTGATTGTTTTCCCTCTGCAGTTTTGCTGTTTTAATTTTAGAGTTTTTTAATACTGGTTTTGTTCATTTTCATGGTTTCCTCCTTTCTGGTTTCCACCATGTCAGACTACACAGAGAAGCCATTGAAATCCACAAGCATGTGGACAATTTCAACAGAAAGGAGGAAACCATGAAAATGAACAAAATCTGGCTACCAGTATTAAAAAACTCTAAAATTAAAACAGCAAAACTGCAGAGGGAAAACAATCAGGACATCTAATCACCTCTCAACAAAAGATTGCTCCAGGCACTGCCAGGCCATCAAATGCTAATCAAGGTGGTCAGTTGAAACATTCACACCTAGCTCCAGCAGACAAGAGTTCTTTGTCCCACCCTGGTCATTCCACAGATATATAAACCCTTTTTCCTAGTGCCAACAGACCTCACTACCTCTGAGGATGCTTGCCATAGATGCAGGCGAAACGTCAGGAGAAATTCCTCTAGAACATGGCCCTATAGCCCGAAAAAACCCACAAGAACCTAATAATAATAATAATAATAATAATAATAATAATAGAATCCTAGAGTTGAAAGTGACCTCTAAAGGACATCCAGTCCAACCCTATTCTGCCTTCATGCAGGAAAAGCACAATCAAAGGCCCAAGACAGAGCCCTCTTTATGGCACCTGTAAAGAGACGGCTACCAGGTGGTAAAAGATCGCCAGCAATTAGTGAGGAAGACCCTTAGGTTTAGGAGAGAGGAGCCACCGATTTGTAAAAGGCTCTGGTATTAATACCACTGGATGCCACCCTGTTTGTGTTGTGAGGTAATTTTGGGAGATTGGGTACACGAACGTAGAATTAATGGAGATGAGGCAGTTTCAAAAACCAAAGAGAACAAGTTTATTTTTAAACAAAGCGTATGGTTGCAGTTTGGTGATAAACTTGGAAGATACTTGGAGAACGTTACATATAACTTGGTTGCGATACAGTACAGACTTCTGATGTTACAACTTATCAATAACTTTTGCTGTGGTGAAGCACTTATTAAACAATGGTTCCTGAAGTGAATAGTCTCCTGTTTGATCTTTCCGTGATCAAACCTCAGATCTCTAGTCTTCTCCCGACTAGCGATCTTAACAAGCCTCTGTTAGTTCTTTCTAACTAAAGCAACTAACAAGGTTTTCCCCTTCAGCTTCCTAACTGAAGAAATCTCTACTATTCACGAACACTGAAACCTGACTCTTCACTTCTCAGAGTCTCAATCCTGACCTGCTCTTCCCTGAGCCTAAAACCCTGACTGACTCTAACTGTCACTTTTCAAAAACCTTAACTCTCTAAGCTCCTCCCACCTCCTCTTCTGCCTCGTTTCCATGGTAACACATTCCTAACAGCTAGGCCGCTCCAGCCTAAGGGCAACCAATGCAAACATAAATACAGTTAAAAGCATATTATTATAAACACTTCTGTACAGCACCCAAATAGTCACTATCCCTTAGGGGAATTTTGATACCTACATACTGGTTTTGGAAACACCAACATACAGCAAACGTTGGATTTCAGCTTGCTCTCCATTCACCCTTAAGGGTATTTTGGGGGGGGGGGGGGTTCAATCATTGCATATTTGCTTGGGGTTGCATGCTAGCAATTGCATGCAATTGCATGTGAGCAATTGAACACAGTGAGCAAAGATGGATTGCAAGAGAGAGACAATAGTTGGAAAAAGTCTCCTTGGGAGGAAGAGTGAAAACCAGTCGATTGCAGCCGATGAATATAAATGTACATTCTCTTGCTGCCAATTATTATCTTAGGTCTACGTCCTGATGCCAAAGCTGTTGCTTATTGCAATACTGTGATGGAATGAATGGGTTTGCATGGTCATAAATACTACTTACATTGGTCGCGAAAATGGGGGCCAGGAAAGCGCCCAGGAACGCAATGCTCAGGATCTGAAAAGAAGGGTGCCAATATTGGCATGCAGTCAATCTCCGTCATAGGCAAGGGATTAATATTACATTGTAACCACTAACAATAATACTCAATACTGAATAATTAATAGTTAATAATATGATAATTCATAATATGATAATAATATCCCAAAGCAATTAACAACGAGATGAAAAAAAGAGATGTTTATACAAACAGAGTGATACACGAGTGAGCACTTTTATGTCATTTTCTCCTGGTATTTCACGACCTGAAGTATTTGCATAGGACATAAACACACATGCACAAAAAATCCTGCTTTCTGTAGTGAAAAGAATATTTTATGGAGAAAATTATATATGTATGGAGAAAAATTTATATATATAATTATAGTTGTGTGTGCAGGTATATGTATGTGTGTGTGTGTGTGTATTTAAAACATTTATATTCCACCCTTCTCACCCCAAAGGGGACTCTCTCTTTCTCTCTCTCTGTCTCTCTCTCTCTCTCTATATATATATATATAAGGTAAAGGTAGTCCCCTGACATTAAGTCCAGTCATGTCTGACTCTGGGGTGTGGTGCTCATCTCCATTTCTAAGCCGAAGAGCCAGCGTTGTCCGTAGACACCTCCAAGGTCATGTGGCCGGCATGACTGCATGGAGCGCCGTGACCTTCCCGCCGGAGCGGTACCTATTGATCTACTCACATTTGCATGTTTTCGAACTGCTAGGTTGGCAGAAGCTAGGGCTGACAGCGGAAGCTCACGCCGCTCCCCGGAATCGAACCTGCGACCTTTCGATCAACAAGCTCAGCAGCTCAGTGCTTTAACCCACTGCGCCACCGGGGGCTCCATATATATATATATATATATATATATATATATATATATATATATGGCGGGAAGGTAACGCGCTCCATGCAGTCATGCCGGCCACATGACCTTGGAGGTGTCTACGGACAACGCTGGCTCTTCGGCTTAGAAATGGAGATGAGCACCACACCCCAGAGTCAGACATGACTGGACTTAATGTCAGGGGACTACCTTTACCTTTACCTATTTATTTTTTCATGGAGAACATTATACACACACACATATATATATAATGCACATTATATATGCAAATTATATATATTCCAATTATATATATATATATTGCACAAAATGCTTTTTTCTGTAAAAAAAATCATATTTTTATGGGGTTAATCATATATATAATATGGAGCCCTGGTGGCACAGCGGGTTAAACTGCTAAGCTGCTGAACTCACTGACCAAAAGGTCCGAGGTTTGAATTTGGGGAGCAGAGTGAGCTTCCGCTGTCAGCCCCAGCTTCTGTCAACCTAGCAGGTCAAAAACATGCAAATGTGAGTAGATCAATAGGTACTGCTCCAGTGGGAAAGTAATGGCATTCCATGCAGTCATGCCAGCCACATGACCTTGGAGGTGTCTATGGACAATGCCGGCTCTTCGGATTAGAAATGGAGATGAGCACCGGAGCCCCAGAGTCAGACACAACTAGACTTAATGTCAGGGAAAAACTTTTACCTTTGCCTTAATTATATATATATATATATATATATATATATATATATATATATATATAATATGGAGCCCTGGTGGCACAGTGGGTTAAACTGCTGAGCTGCTGAACTTGCAGACCAAAAGATCGGTGGTTTGAATATATATATACATATATATACACACACACACGTGCACACACATATAAAACAAGAATCTTTTTTTTCCTGTAGTGAGATAGATAGATAGATAGATAGATACGTATATGTTGCAGTGAAAATAATCTAACTGTACAAGAAAAATAATATTTCATCTGCAGAGAACCTTTCTGTACCACTTTCATGCAATGCAATGGAATCCTGGGAGTTGCGTGGGAGTTGTGGCTTCCACACTTTGCAAACTGCAACTTGCAGGATTCCGTCACATCAACGTGGTCTCAAACTGCATTAATTCTTTGGTGCAGATGCTCCCTAAAGATGGAGAGGTACTTACAAGCAGCTTCATTGTGTTGCCGGTTGAGAGACCGAAGGCTGGTCAAAGCCAAAGCCTTTTGCTTTATATACCTGGATCTCCCAAGGTTCAGGTGTGGGCAAGGGATGGAGATAAGAGGGCCTTATCACACTGGCCTTTCTCCACTTTTTTTTGTTTTGCAGGGCAGGTACCAAGGAACGGAGCCACACCTGGGAGATAAGCCATCGGTATTACCTGTGCTCCACGATCACACCTGTATGCTTTGCGATAACCAGAAGGAATGAGCAAGAGGGTGTCAGTCCTTAAATAAAAAGCATTTCCATGAGTCTTTTAATCAAGCTTTTGCTGTTGGTCTTTAAGGTGGAAAGGGACATAATGTTTTCAACCCTCAAAATAAATACTGCTAAGTAAAGATGGGGCGTGGGCTGCAATCAATACTCAATTCCAAAGCCTAAATAACAGCCTAATTTTGGTCTGATTTGCAATGCTAAGCTGGTTTGGCCCTGGTTGGTTTTTGGATGGGAGGCCAGCAATGGTCATTGGGTGCTGGAGGCAGGAATTGGTTATTCTTTGTCAGAGGCCTATTGAAACCCACCATTCCGGATGGGAGCCCTGACAACTCGTCGGCCCGCTGTGAAGCATTTGCTCGGTTCTTTGCGGACAAAGTCGCTTTGATCCGTTCAGGCCTGGACACCACGTTAACGGCAGTCTCTGAGGATGTGACGAGAACACCTGTCTGTCCGATTTTGTTGGATTCGTTTCAATCTGTGACACCTGAGGATGTGGACAAGGTGCTGGGAGGGATGAGGGCAACCACATGCATCCTAGACCCCTGCCCATCCTGGCTTCTAAAGGAGGCCAGAGGGGGATTGGCCGAGTGGGTAAAGGTGGTGGTTAATGCCTCCCTTCGGGAAGGCATAATTCCAGCCAGCTTAAAACAAGCTGTTATAAAACCGCTGTTGAAAAAACCATCACTGGACCCCACTCAATTCGTCAACTATCGGCCTGTTTCCAATCTCCCCTTTTTGGGCAAAGTCCTGGAACGTGTGGTGGCCTCACAACTCCAAGCATTCTTGGTAGACACTGATTATCTGGATCCGGCGCAGTCTGGCTTTAGGCCGGGGCATGGTACCGAGACAGCCTTGGTCGCCTTAGTCGATGATCTCCGGCGTGAGCTTGACAGGGGGAGTGTGTCCCTGTTGGTTCTGCTGGACCTCTCAGCGGCCTTCGATACCGTCGACCACGGTATCCTTCTGGGGCGCCTCGTGGGAATGGGCCTGGGGGGCGCTGCTTTGCAGTGGCTCCGGTCCTTCCTAGAGGATCGTACCCAGAAGGTGTTACTGGGGGACAACTGCTCGTCCTCACAACCATTGACTTGTGGGGTCCCGCAGGGTTCAATACTGTCCCCCATGTTGTTTAACATCTACATGAAGCCGTTGGAGAGATCATCCGGAGTTTCAGGGTGCGGTGTTATCTGTACGCAGATGATGTCCAACTCTGTCACTCCTTTCCACCTACTAAGGAGGCTGTCCAGGTCCTGAACCGGTGCTTGGCCGCTGTGTCGGACTGGATGAGGGCGAACAAATTGAAACTCAATCCAGACAAGACAGAGGTACTCCTGGTCAGTCGGAAGGCCGAACAGGGTATAGGGTTACAGCCTGTGCTAGACGGGGTCGCACTCCCCCTAAAGGCACAGGTTCGCAGCTTGGGTGTGACTCTGGATTCTTCGCTAAGCTTGGAACCCCAAGTTTCAGCGGTGTCCAGAGGAGCATTTGCACAGCTTCGGCTCGTGCGCCAGCTGCGCCCGTATCTTGGGAAGTCGGACTTGGCCACGGTAGTCCACGCTCTTGTCACATCCCGCATAGATTACTGCAACGCGCTCTACGTGGGGTTGCCCTTGAAGACTGCCCGGAAGCTTCAAATGGTCCAGCGCTCGGCAGCCAGGTTGCTAACAGGAGCGGCACTCAGGGAGCACACCACTCCGCTGTTGAGCCAGCTCCACTGGCTGCCAATTTGCTACCGGGCACAATTCAAGGTGCTGGCTTTAGCCTATAAAGCCCTACACGGTTCCGGCCCCACTTACCTCTCCGAACGCATCTCCACCTATGAACCGGCGAGGTTGTTAAGATCGTCTGGGGAGGCCCTGCTCTCGGTCCCGCCAGCGTCACAGGTGCGGCTGGCGGGAACGAGGGACAGGGCCTTCTCAGTGGTGGCCCCCCGGCTATGGAATGCCCTACCAGCGGACATCAGGCAGGCCCCTTCGCTATTGGCGTTTAGGAGGAGGGTTAAGACGTGGCTCTTCGAACAGGCGTTCGGATAAATATGCAATAACAACTGACTCAGGAATGACGGCACATTGAACAAGGAATGGTAATACGACTGTGAGATCGAGATCTGATTCTAATGAGGCGTGATGATTTTTATGTGTATTGTTTGTGTATGTTTGTTATATAGATTGTTCAGTGTTGCACATTTTATTGTAAACCGCTTCGAGTCGCCTTTTTAGGCTGATATTTGCGGTATACAAAAGAAGTAAATAAATAAATAAATAAATAAGAAAACCTTATAGAATTCATAGGGTCACCATAAATCAATAATAATAATAATAATAATAATAATAATAATAATAATAATAAATCAATAATAATAATAATAATATATTATTTATTTATTTATTTATTTATTTATTTACTTTACTTATATACCGCTGTTCTCAGCCCGAAAGCGACTCACAGCAGTTCACAACCAATAAAAACAGCAATAATTCAATGCAGCATATAACAACAATTAACAACTTAACACATTACCCAATCAATAAACAATTACCACAATAACCAATCACAATCATCTCATCATCAAAAACATAATCCAGATTCGTCATCCATTGTTCCATTCCTATGTTCATTACCAATCATTGCACTAGTTATTTGAACGCCTGCACAAACAGCCAGGTCTTCACTTTTTTGTGGAATGCCATTAGAGATGGTGCTAGCCTAATGTCCATGGGAAGGGCGTTCCACAGCCGAGGAGCCACCACCGAGAAGGCCCTATCTCTCGTCCCCGCCAGCCGTGCTTGAGAAGCAGGCGGGATCGAGAGCAGGGCCTCCCCGGAAGATCTCAAAGTCCTGGTGGGTTCATAGGCAGAGATGCGGTTAGATAGGTAGCTTGGGCCGGAACCGTTTAAGGCTTTATAGGCCAACGCCAGCACCTTGAATTGAGCCCGGTAGCAGATCGGCAGCCAGTGGAGCTGGCGCAACAGGGGGGTCGTATGCTCCCTGCGTTCCGCTCCTGTTAGAATCATGGCTGCCGCACGTTGGACTAATTGAAGCTTCCGGGCCGTCTTCAAGGGCAACCCCACGTAGAGAGCGTTGCAGTAGTCTAGGCAATGCTCTCTACTCTACAATACTATTTTAATCCGCCTCTTCCTTTGGCTCAACATAATTAAATACAACTATAAAATCACAAATCACAACACAGTTAAAATGCAAGGAATCTGTTATTCTTTACTTAAGGAATCCTTATAGAATTCATGGATTTGAAACATATCAACAAGCACCATGAATCCAGGGAGAAAAATAAAACCCAAATCGCAAACAGTTCTGGTTCTAAGAAATCCTTAATTTTAATAAGCTAATAAAATAGGTGAAGCAATGGGAGCTCTTGCATGTCTTGCACCTTTACAGGGGATATGTAGGGAGGAATAGAGAGAGAGAGAAAGTTGTATTATTCATTGCATTCCTGTGAACAAAGTACCCTTTTGCAATGAATAATACAACGGGAATCCTCTCTGTTTGCATTTGGAAAAATCCATAGAGACAAATGCAATAAATTTGTAAGAAAAAGCCACGGCGGATAAGGATGATGTTTGCAGGATGCATTTGGGTTGCAGATGTGGTCCCAGGGTTGCATTTGAACCACAGACATGACTCAAAGGGATGCATTTGAATGACAGATTTATTTTTTATTTATTTATTTACGACATTTATATGCCGCCATTCTCAGAGCGGCTTACAAGTAAAAAGTAAATACATTATATTATTATCATTTCACAATATTAATATTATATATTACCTTGTACTATAACATTATACTGTAATATTATTAGCAATATTACATTTAATATAAATATATAATTATAATATTATTTTATTTTATTATTAGTAGTATATTATATTACATTATAATATTATCACTATTATATGTATATACAATATATTATATTATATTATATTATAGTATAGTATAGTATAGTATAGTATAGTATAGTATAGTATAGTATAGTATAAGCACAGTGCAGGAGACAAGATGGAACTGCCACCCTGGCCCATTTCTTCACTCTGATCTCAGAGCAGCGGTTGGTGCTGGAGTGGGGGGAGGGGGGGGCTCCCAACCGATGACACTGGAGGCAAGATGGAACTGCTCTGAGATCAGAGTGAAGAAAGGGGCCAGGATGGCAGTTCCATCTTGTCTCCTGCACTGTGCTTATAATATGGCAGATGCTCTCCAAAGGCTGCATTTAGACCGTGAAGGTGGTCCGTATGCACTGTAGACATCATCTGAAGGCTGCAGTTGGACGACAGATGTGGTCCCAGGGTTGTATTTCGACTAAAGATGCTGTCCAAAGGCTGCAAGGGAGGCCCAAGGGTTGCCTTTGGGCTATAGAAATTACCCAAAAGCCATATTTGGACTACAGATTACCTTCTCAGGATGCATATGGGCTACAGACATGATCTCAAAGCCATATTTGGACTACAGATGAAGTTTGGGAGTTGCGTTTGGAAGACAGATGCTGTCCAAAGGCTGCCTTTAGGCTGTGAAGGGCTGCACTTGAACTAGATACATCATCTGAAGGCTGCATTTGGGCTATAGGCATGACCCAAAGGTGGCATTTGGATGACAGATGAAGTCCAAAGGCTGCATTTAGGCTCTGAAGGGGGTCCAAGGGTTGCCTGTGGACATCATCTGAAGGCTGTATTTGGTCTACAGACAGGACCCAAAAGCCATATGTAGACTACAGATTAACCCCAAGGGCTGCATTTGGATGACAGATGCTATCCAAAGGCTGCATTTAGGCTGTGAAAGTGGCCCAAGGGCTGCAAATGCACTGTAGACATCATCTGAAGGCTGCAGTTGGACAACAGATGTGGTCCTGGGATTGCATTTGGACTAAGGATGCTGTCCAAAGGCTGCATTAATCTGCAAAGGAGGCCCAAGGATTGCCTTTGGGCTATAGACATGACCCAAAAGCCATATTTGGCCTACAAGTGTTGTTCTCAAGGTGCATTTGGGCTACAGACATGACCTCAAAGCCATATTTGGACTACAGATGATGTTCTCAGGGTGCAATTGGGGTTACAGACATAGCCTCAAAGCCATATTTGGACTACAGATGAAGTTTGAGGGTTGCATGACCGATGCTGTCCAAAGGCTGCCTTTAGGCTGTGAAGGGCTGCACTTGGACTAGATACATCATCTGAAGGCTGCATTTGGGCTACAGACATGACCCAAGGGTGGCATTTGGACGACAGATGAAGTCCAAAGGCTGCATTTAGGCTGTGAAGGGGGTCCAAGGGTTGCCTGTGGTCATCATCTGAAGGCTGTATTTGGTCTACAGACAGGACCCAAAAGCCATATGTAGACTACAGATTAACCCCAAGGGCTGCATTTGGATGACAGATGCTATCCAAAGTCTGCATTTAGGCTGTGAAGGTGGCCCAAGGGCTGCAAATGCACTGTAGACATCATCTGTAGGCTGCAGTTGGACGACAGATGTGGTCCCAGGGTTGCATTTGGAGTAAAGATGCTGTCCAAAGGCTGCATTTAGTCTGCAAAACAGGGCCAAGGGTTGCCTTTGGGCTACAGACATGACCCAAAAGCCATATTTGACCTACAGATGATGTTCTCAAGGTACATTTGGGCTACAGACATGACCTCAAAGCCATATCTGGACTACAGATGATGTTCTCAGGGTACATTTGGGCTACAGACATGACCTCAAAGCCATATTTGGACTACAGATGATGTTCTCAGGGTGCATTTGGGCTACAGACATGACCTCAAATCTATATTTGGATGACAGATGCTGTCAAAAGGCTGCCTTTAGGCTGTGAAGGTGGCCCAAGGGCTGCACTTGGACTAGATGCATAGGCTGCATTTGGGCTACAAACATGACCCAAGGGCTGCATTTGGACGACAGATGAAGTCCAAAGGTGTAAAGGGGGCCTGAGGGCTGCCCATGGACTGCAGACATCATCTAAAGGCTGCATTTGGTCTTCAGACAGGACCCAAAAGCCATATGTGGCTACAGATGAAGTGCAAAGACTGCATTTGGATGACAAATGCTATCTAAAGGCTGCATTTAGGCTGTGAAGGTGGCCCAAGGGATGCAAATGCACTATAGACATCATCCGAAGGCTGCAATTGCTTCTTGGCAAGGGGGTTGGACTGGATAGCCCATGAAGTCTCTTCTAACTCAAGGATTCTATGATTCTATTTGGTCCTGGGGTTGCATTTGGATTAAAGATGCTGTCCAAAGGCATTTAGCCTGCAAAGGTGGGCCAAGGGCTGCATTTGGGCTACAGACATGACCCAGAAGCCATATTTGGACTACAGATGATGTTCTCAGGGTGCAATTGGGGTTACAAACATAGCCTCAAAGCCATATGTGGACTACAGTTGAAGTTTGGGGGTTACATTTGGATGACAGATGCTGTCCAAAGACTGCCTTTAGGCTGTGAAGGTGGCCCAAGGGCTGCACTTGGATTAGTTACATCATCTGAAGGCTGCATTTGGGCTACAGACATGACCCAAGGGTGGCATTTGGATGACAGATGAAGTCCAAAGAATGCAATTAGGCTGTGAAGGGGGCCCGAGGGCTGCCTGTGGACTGTAGACATCATCTGAAGCCTGTATTTGGTCTACAGATAGGACCCAAAAGCCATATTTGGACTACAAATGATGTTCTCAAGGTGCATTTGGGCTACAGACATGACCCAAGGATGACATTTGGATGACAGATGAAGTCCAAAGAATGCATTTAGGCTGTGAAGGGGGCCCAAGGCTGCCTGTGGATTGTAGACATCATCTGAAGCCTGTATTTGGTCTACAGATAGGACCCAAAAGCCATATTTGGACTCCAAATGATCATTCTCAAGGTGCATTTGGGCTACAGACATGACCCAAAACCCATATTTGGACTACAGATGATGTTCTCAGGGTGCAATTGGGTTAGAGACATAGCCTCAAAGCCATATGTGGACTACAGATTAAGTTTGTGGGTTGCATTTGGACAATAGATGCTGAGGGGCTGCACATACATCATCTGAAGGCTGGATTTGGGCTACAGACATGACCCAAGGGCTGCATTTGAATGACAAATGCTACCCAAAGGCTGCATTTATGTTGTGAATGTGGGTCAAGGACTGCATATGGACTGAAGGCTGCATGTGGTTCTGGGGTTGCATTTGTGCTACAGGCATGATGACCCAGGGCATAAGAGTAATAATAATAATACCCCACATTGACTGCCATGGCTCAATGCTAGGACACATCTTCCTTTTGCACAGCCACCTGTTCTAATGCAAGGAATGCAACCCCGAAGGTCTGAGCGGAGCCTCCCGGCAAAAGGGAACGGTGGTGTTTGCCCAATGCAGCATGTTTCCCGGTCAGTTGATGGGCGCCAGGTATCGGGGGCGGTGGCTGGCATGGTGATAAGGCCGTTTGCAATGGCGTGTCCCCAGATAGCGGCCCCCACACATACCTTCCGCCCGGGCAGTATAAAAGCCCCGACGCCATTGGGTTGCATCCCATTTGCTCCCTGGCCTCTCTGCAAGAAACATGAACAGCCTTGTGAGTATTTTCCCGGCAAATTCCTCTCTGGCTTTTGACATGCCCTTTCCCCCCAGCAAGGTCTTGTATTAAGTTTTGTTCCAAAAGGTGCGTTCAAAACTGACTGTCGCTGGGGCTTATTTCCAAAGTAGGGCTTCTATTCCGAGCATCCTCAATAATCCCAAGAAGTCAATGGGATTTTGGCCTGCGTCAATAGGAGCATAGTGTCTAGATCTAGGGAAGTCATGCTACCCCTCTATTCCGCTTTGGTTAGACCACACCTGGCATATTGTGTCCAATTCTGGGCACCACAATTCAAGAGAGAGATATATAAGGTGGAATGTGTCCAGAGGAGGGCGACTAAAATAATCAAGGGTCTGGAGAACAAGCCCAATGAAGAACGGCTTAAGGAGCTGGGCATGTTTAGCCTGAAGAAGAGAAGGCTGAGAGGGGATATGATAGCCATGTATAAATACGTGAGAGGAAGCCACAGGGAGGAGGGAGCAAGCTTGTTTTCTGCTTCCTTGGAGACTAGGACGCGGAACAATGGCTTCAAACTACAGGAGAGGAGATTCCATCTGAACACGAGGAAGAACTTCCTGACTGTGAGAGCCGTTCAGCAGTGGAACTCTCTGCCCCGGAGTGTGGTGCAGGCTCCTTCTTTGGAAGCTTTTAAACAGAGGTTGGATGGCCATCTGTCAGGGGTGATTTGAATGCAATATTCCTGCTTCTTGGCAGGGGATTGGACTGTGTGGCCCATGAGGTCTCTTCCAACTCTTTGATTCTATGATTCTATGATTCTATGCTAGGGCTTATTTTTGGGGTAGGGCTTATTTTTCCAAATTAATTGTTGTAATTAGGACTGATTTTTGAAATAGGTCTTAGATTGCGATCATCCTCAATAATCCCGAAAAATCACGCTAGGGCTTATTTTCGAGGTAGGTCTTATTTTTCCAAATTGAATGTTTTTGATGACCTGTAACTAGGGCTTATTTCTGAAGTAGGGCTTCTATTCTGAACATGCTAGGGCTTGTTTTCAGGGAAACAGGGCATTGCAATTGTCTTTCTGATGGGAAGCCTTTGCCGATCCATTACGTGATAGAAACAATATTATTTGCAATAGTAATATGGGCAAAATTAATCTGCCGTGGGAAACGCAATGAATTAATTTATTTCCCGACCCAGTGTTTTTTTTAAGGAAGATATCAGAAGGAATCAAATATTTGATCTGGAAGGGACTCAGTTCTCAAATCAAAATATTGATCCTTAACATTGTATTTTTCTTTGGTGCGTCTAGACTGCGGAATTAATCCAGATCGACACTACTTAAACAGCCATGGCCTAATGACGTGGAGTTGTAGTTACTTCTATGAAGTCTTCTCTTGTCTCAGTGAACTACAGCTCCAAAGATGCCATGGCATTGATCCATGGTAGTTAAGGAGTTATAAAGTGGATTAATTCTGCAGTGTAGATGCATCCTTTGTGAACCCCCAACGGATAGACATAGGAGTTTCTTAAGAGCATGGTGAAATTTGGGGTCAATAAGAAGATATGGGTCAATTTCCGATGCTTTCAGATTTCCATGTTGATCTGCATCCATGCACAGGAGCTTGCAATAATAATAATAATAATAGTAGTAATAATAATAATAATAATAATAATAATAGGTAAAGGTAAAGGTTTTCCCCTAACATTAAGTCCAGTCGTGTCTGATTCTGGGGGTTGGTGCTCATCTCCATTTCTAAGTGAAAGAGCCGGCATTGTCCATAGACACCTCCTAGGTCATGAGGCTGGCATGACTGCATGGAACGCAATTACTTTCCCGCCGGAGCTGTACCTATTGATCTACTCACATTTGCATGTTTTCAAACTGCTAGGTTGGCAGAAGCTGGGGCTAACAGCGGGAGCTCACCCCCACTCCCCAGATTCGAACCTGCAACCTTTCGGTTAGCAAGTTTAGCAGCTCAGCGGTTTAACCCACTACGCCACCGGGAAATTAATAATAATAATAATAATAATAATAATAATAATAATAATGTGTTTGTTGCCTGCCTCTTCTTGATGCTTAGTTGAAAAAAAATAACAGACACAACACTATCGAAATGCATATTGCAAAATGCAGGCTGAAATTCACAATTTGAAATTGAAACTGGGCTTTTCCCGATATGCATCTTGTGGATCACAGTTTTTCTAGGTGACTGTATCAATTTTAAACTGCATTTAATTATTAAAGAAGCTGGGGCTAACAGCGGGAGCTCACCCCACTTGCCAGATTCAAACCTGCAACCTCTCGATTAGAAAGTTTAGCAGCTCAGCGGTATAACCCACTACGCCACCGGAAGATGATGATGATGTTAATAATAATAATAATAATAATAATAATAATAATGTGTTTGTTGCCTGCCTCTTCTTGATGCTTAGTTGAAAAAAAAATAACAGACACAACACTATCGAAATGTATATTGCAAAATACACCTTAAAAATGCAGGCTGAAATCCACAATTTGAAATTGAAACTGTGTTTTTCCCAATATGTATCTTCTGGATCACAGTTTTTCTAGGTGACTATCCAACCATATTGATTTTAAACTGCATTTAATTATTAAAGATTATTATTATTATTATTATTATTATTATTATTATTATTATTATTATTCAGCTCTCCGGATCTCCTAGCATTGAGCTATGGAAGTCAAAGTGGGGCATTGTTGTTGTTGTTGATGATGATGATGACGATGCAGCCCTAAGTTAGCAATCTTTGTTTCTATTATATAAGATATATTTTCTTTTTTTAATTCCAGGCAGCAATAATCGCCCTTCTGGGATTCTTCTGGAGCCCGGCGTTAGGTTCTTACCAGGTAAATGGCGGAAAATCACTTTTAATACATGCTTTGAAAATGGATTCCAAATTATTTACTGTTTACCCACTCCGCAGTTATTTGGTGTATAGATGGGGATGGAAATAATAAAAATATATGCCTTTATTTGCATTCAGGTCTATAGGATCCCGAGTCCCGATGGAGATTATGTCCAGCAAACGGTGACCATTGACAACGAGAACCAAGTGGCCAATGTACATGTCTATGGAGGGCTCTGCTCTTCAGACACAATCTTTGACTATAAACATGTGAGTATAACACACACACACATCTTTGCAAACTATATATCATTTGGCAGCTATTTAGAAAAAAGATATGTTTCCAAATGGGGAAAGATGTCTGTTTGCCTTAGCCTGGGATTGCCCTCGCTTCTGTACCTTGCATGCCATGAGCTTTGCTTTGCAATGGGTTATCTATAAAAGCAGACATACGGTATATATGTATATATGTTTGTACCACAAACGTTCCTCCATGGTTTGATGGATCTGTGTCAAACTTGGCACATAGAACCTTCATGATCCAACTTAAAATTATTGAGGGTTCCATAATTAAGAAATCATCCTTTTTAGTCAAAAAGGGAAAGTAAAGGAAGGAAGCCAATTGGCTGTTGCTAGGTAAAGTGGCACTCTGTAATGTGACAGGGAAAGAAAGAGAGTGGAGTGGATTGGCTGTTGCTAGATTACATGTGTATGGGAAAAAGGGAAGGAGGAAGGAAAGAAAGAAAGAGAAAAAGAAGGAAAGGGAAGAAAGGGAGAAGAAAAAGGAGGGAAAGAAGGAAAAGGAGAGGAGGGAAAGGCATGAGAGGGGAGGAAAGCAAGAAAAAGACCGGAAGAGAAAGGAAGGGGAGAAAGAAGGGACAGCAAGGGAAAAGGAGGGAAGAGGAAGGAAGGAAGCAAGAAGAAAAAGAAGAGAAAGAAAAGAAGGGACAAAGGGAAAGATGGGAGAAGGAAAAAAGAAGGAAGAATGAAAAGGGAGGGAATGAAGGGAAAAAAGAAAAGGAAGGAAGGAAGGAAGGAAGGAAGGAAAAGAAAGGCAAGGATGAAATGTATGACAGGAAGGAAGGAGAGAAAGAGAAAGAAGGGAAGAGAAAGGAAGGAAGGAGGTAGAAAGAAAACGGAAAAGAAGGAGAAGAAAGTAAAGGTATGAGGGAAAGGAAGGAGAGGAAAAAAGGGAAGAGGAAGAAAGCAAGGAGAAAGAAAAAGGAGGGCAGGAAGGAAAAGAAAGTAAAGGAGGAAAGGTTTGTGGAGAAGGGCAGGAAGAGGAAAGAAGGAAGGAAGGAGAAGATAGTCAAAGTATGAAGAGAAGGAATGAAAGGAATAGAAAGAAGAGAAGAGGAAGGAAGGGAGCAAGGTGAAAAAGAAGGGAAAGAAAAGAAGGGAAACGGGCCAAAGGGAAAGAAGGGAGAAGGAAGAAAGGAGGAAGAAAGAAAAAAAGAGGGAAGGAAGGAAAAGAAAAGAAAGGTATGAGAGGAATGAAGTAAAGGGAGGGAAAGAAGGGAAGAGAAAGGAAGAAAGAAAAGGGAAAACAAGGAAAAGAAAGTAAAGGTATGAGGAAAAGTAAGGAGAGGAACAAGAGGGGAAGAGAAAGGAAAGAAGGATAAAGAAAAAGGAGGGCAGGAAGGAAAGTAAAGTAAAGGAGGAAAGGTATGTGGAGAAGTAAGGAAGGAGAAAAGGAAGGGAAAGAAAAAGAAAAGGACCGAAGGGGAAGAAAGAAAAAGGAGAGAAGGAAGTAAAAAAAAGGCAGAAAGAGGAAGGAAAAGATAGTAAAAGTATGAGGGAAAGAAAGGAGGGGAAGAGAAAGAAGAGAAGAGAAGAGAAGAGGAAGGAAGGAAGGAGCCATACTCGTTGGAAGATGAATTAATGCTAGTCCCAAAGCCGGAGAGAATGCAGAGGAATGGAAAGATCTTTTCATTCCTTCTTTCCTTCCTTCTTCTTTTCCAGGGCTACATTGCCACCCGCCTCTTCTCTCGCCGCGCTTGCTTCATCCTGAAGATGGAGAAGGGCTACGTCCCGCTTCTGGAGGAAATTGGCCGACTATCCTATGAGAAGCAGGTAAAGGTGGCTTTTCTTTTGTTGCTTTTCGGGGTTCACGATCCAATGCATGGTCCTCCAGTGTCATTCTATGGTTTGCTTCTCCTGGAAATTAGCATCGAGTTGCACTGGAGGACCTGGCAAATCCTACAGGGAATGCTTCTCTAGGAATGTCTAGGTCCTCTTGTGCAGGGTACACAATGCATTATTATGGGATGATACATTTGGCAACATCTTTCTTTGTCCTCATGCTCTGCAGATGTCTCAGAGTGCAATGCCTATCATCATCCTTAGGGATGATGGGAATTGAAGTCCAATGCCACAGGTGCAAAGTGCCCACAATGAATATTGAACTGGGTTTAGGGTCTCATTTTTGTGCATGGTTCCCTTTGCAGATGATGAAAGAGATGATGTCCTCTAGGAATGTCTGGGTGCAATACGAGCCCAGCGACTCCTTCTTTGCATCCATCCGGGAATGGCTCAAGTTCGGAAGCTCCATTGAGCACCTCTGCAGGGACGTCCCTGTCTACACCGTCAAAAGAATCGAGAGTGAGTCGTCAGCTCTAAACCACATCATCATCATCACCATCATCATTATCATTATTATTATGTCTATTTATAACCCACTTTATCTCTCCATAAGGAGACTCAAAGCAGCTATGTATCCATTATTAGTATTAGACTGTGTTGTTGTTGTTGTTGTGTTTATGTTTATTTATATGTTGTTGTTATATTTATGTTTATGTTTTATGTTTATGTTTTATGTTTATTTATGTTTATTTATATGTTTATGTTTATTTATACCTCTCCACAAGGAGCTTCAAAGCAGCTATGTATCAATTTTTAGTATTACAGTATATAATAATAATAATTATTATTATTATTATTATTATGCTTATTTATACCCTTGCTTTTTCTCCCTACAAAGGAGGTTCAAAGTGGCTATGTATCCATTATTAGTATAAGACTGTATTATTATTGTTATTGTTATATTATCATATTATATTATTGCTGTTATTTTTATTGTTATTGTTGCTATTATGTTTATTTATATCCTGATTTTTCTCCCCACAAGGAGGTTCAAAGTGGCTATGTATCCATTTTTAGTATTAGAGTGTATAATATATTATTATTATTATTATTGTTACATTATTGTTTTGTATTATTATTGTTATTGTTGTTATTATGTTTATTTATACCCTGCTTTTTCTCTCTACAAAGGAGGTTCAAAGTGGCTATGTATCAATTATTAGTATTAGACTTTATTATTATTATTATTA